GTAAATGGGGTGGCTGGTGATTACCGAGGTCGCAAGGGCGATCGGCGAAGGTGAGGTGACTCGCCGGTCCACTGTTCCTTCCGCTATCTCCATACTAAGATATTCACACGTATCAACGCAATCCTTTTTGATACATACGTTGTGAGACCGTAAAATCGACTTATGATTAGTCACTAATGTTGACCATTCTTGAAACTTCAAGAGCTGTCAATACTCATGTTGTTGAACTTGAATAATTTTCTAGAAATGTTTTCCATGTTATTTTGAAGACCTTATCGCAGTAAGGTTAACACTTTGCCGTGTGACTAACCTATCTATTTACAGTAAACCAAGTGGTACAAGCGATGACTGTGTGTGGTAATAACTTTATTTCCTCTACTTTAAACAAGGATTGGTCGAGATTTGGAAGTCTTGGGAGGTTCATTATAAAGCCTTATCTAATAAACACGAGCGTCATCACATCTATCGACCTATTAATTTTGAATAACACGGCATAACATCAGCTGACTCGGACTAACACGCATTTAATTTACAACTAAAAGCAAGCTAACGGTTTCTTTTTAGCTTACTTAAAATACTTGACATACATTTTTGTTTGTAAACGCCTCCGTGGTCTAGCGGTTAGAGAGGTCGTCTTGGTTGATCCGGAGGTCCTGGGATTGATTCTCATTGGGGTACATTGAAAAATCACTGTGTTATTTCCCACTTTGCTGGAGGAGATTTGGCAGACTTGTATAAATCCTTTAAGATTTCGTGTAGGTACATCAGAGAGCGGTTCGATAGAGTTATGTCATAATGCTGATGGCGGTTAATGAATTTTGACACCAGATTATAATTTGTGAGCTCAGTCGATATTTAAAAAAGGATTTGTTTAAACTAACCTGGCTCATTAAAAAAATGCTTCTTTCAGGACATATCAAAATGACGAAGCACTGTTCTGTCATATAAGGCTTAAGACAAGTTAGAGGACAACAGGAAACACGCATGATTAAATTGTCATAGTGTAATGCACATGTTACACAGTACACTACATATAATGCTTGAGTACATAATGTATTTCTAGATCATACATTTTATTCTTCAACATCTGATTTCGAAGCTAATTAGGAAGTAAATCAATTAGCCCGACACTAATTCAAAGAAAGAAAGCAACTAGCGAGCCAAAAAATTGCCTGACTAATGTTTGCAAACTTTATTAGTTTTGTAACATAATTTAATTTACTTCTCCTTTCTTTTTAATGCTGAATCGTTATACCGAAAAATGTTACACGGCAGTAACAAGATTAATTGTTATTAGGTGTATTGTATTGATAGTTGTAACATTGTGTGATTTAGTTACTAATTACGTGTGAGTTATGTAACACTTTCAAAAGTAAACACGTAGGAACGACACAATGAAAGTGTAACCACATTTTTGTTTCTCATAATCCATAATCTGACTTTTTTAACTAACTGAAACACACGTAATATCCATTATAGCGAAAAACATTACCCTACTTTCTGCACTTAGGTAAAAAGTCGTCCTCACGTCATCTTTTGTAATTCTTCAGGTTTATATTTTTTGTTAATTTGATAATAAATGCATTTAACTTAAATTCAACATCGTGCAGGGTCAGCTTTTATGGTTTTTACTCTGATCTGAGACCTCCATTTATTTGGCACTCGGTTACGCTCAATAAGCAATAAATCGCTCACCTAGCAGTATAATGGCACATTTACAAAAAAAGCGAAATTGAGTTTTTACGGCCTAAGTGTTTAAGAGTGTATAATTTATAAAGTGGTAAAACGGCACGGTGTTAATTTTACTATTTGTCGAGAGAGGGCGTTCAGTGTCATTGTAGCACTTGCTACGTTCCCCCCGCTTCCGCGCATAACAACGGCTTATTTGTCAGTTGTGCGGGGCGCTCCGCGAGTTGCAATCGCTTCTAAATCTGTGTTGGCGTAAGTGGCAAATGTGACATTTTATTAACTTAGTAAGTTAGTAGAAAAACGGTACATTTGACAAGAGAAGATACGTCATGATTAAACTTTATTTTATTTGCTATAGTTTGATTGTTATATTTGACCACAATCGCACCTGATGTTAAGTGGGATGCAGTCTAGGATGGTACATATCTGCCCTGTAAGTGCTTATTCACTCTCGCCTTGAAGAGGCCCGGATTATAGTTTTCGGGAAAGACAGCAGCAGGCAACGAATTCCAGTCCCTAGCTGTTCGCATTATAAAAGAGTCATCGAAACGCTTAGTGCGCGCTGGTGGAATGTCAACAATATAGGGTTGGTACGCTAACCTGCGTCTGGTTCCCTGGAAGAGGGCTGGTGGAATTAATTCGTGTAATTCTTTCGCACATTCTCCGAAGTGTAGCCTGTAGAAAACCGATAGGGATGCTTCCTTACGGCGATGGTCAAGTTCCTGGAGCGCCGCTTCAACAAGGTAATAAATTTACATTCGTTTTGTAGAATAGCTCAAATACTAATAATACAATGCAAATAAAACATACCTTAACGACCTGGTTTTTCTTGTGTTGGAAAATAACTGAAAAAGAAGTGAAAAAAGTCATGTTTTTTTCTAATTAAATCCATTCTTACTCCCTTAAAATGTATGAAACTTGTATCTGTTTTCTACTTTTGCTAATAGATAATTTTATTGGCTATCGTGTGATATAAAATATTTGCTTATTAATGTTACGCTACCCACGCTTTCACTTGTTTTTGAAGGAAAAGGTGAAAACTAAAAATTAAAAACTTAAATCCTTGTAATTTTGCGATAAATGGGTCAAGCCCCAAATTTGAAGTGTTTTTATCGATAAAATTGTCCCTAGATTTGGCCCATAAAGTTTGATCACTACATGCCCGGACACACTGTATATATAGGTTATTATAATATTTTAGTTAAACTTTTTATTGTATGTTGATTTCAAATAAAAACTTTTGTTTTCTATCAACCAATTGTCTTTATTTCTAGTTTTCACATCCTGTTTAATTATGGCTTTGGGGCATATATGACATTTTTGGAAGTTGTTAAAAAGTATAACGGCACAATTGCATGGTTCTTCTTCTTCTTTGACTGCTATGAAGTAACTCCTGGAAACCTGAAGTGGATTTTTTTATCCCTAAGTATCTATTAAGGTCTATACTAGTTGCTAAAACCATAAAATCCATGATAAAATGTAAAATGAACTCATAACTTCGTTTCAAACATTTGTAAAATCTTTGACCCTCATTTCTGTAAAATAAGAAAAAAGTAGATGTGTCATTATACTGCTAGGTGAGCGAAATGTTTATAAATTGATATGAAATCATTTCGTTAAAACTTTATATTGGAACAGCGTTTGAGCTCAGCCAGAACAAACTCTTGTAGCTACCTAGGTATTAGCTTTAATAAAACTCTAGCAACCTTGTCGAGAGTTATTGGCTACTGCGGGTGTCTCACATAGCGACATCTAACGTTACATCGCACACACAGGCAGGTATATTTTCTTTTACAAAAGAAATATACCATTTTCAACATGTCTAAAAAAATCGCACTATTTTATCTGTTTCTAGGATGCCAGATTTTCATTGTAAAGCTGTCCACAGAATACTTCTATTCTTTAGACATTGTTTGCACGTCTATTGTTTAGTAATAAGGCCGTACCCGTACCTACGTTTCTGGGACACCGAACCTGTAACAACGAAGGATATCTGTGTAGAACACGATTGTATCTCTGGGAACTTAGCATCTTTTGCCGTTTAAAAATTGTCGATGCGTGTATCTTTTTATAGAATCGAATATTCGATATGCGAATTCCTGGTGAGCGTTGTTATGACGACTCAATAATCGGCAAACTTGACGGCGAGTCGGCAACAATGCCGCTGGCTTTATGTAACAAAAGTTACGCGTGCTCTGCACCGCAACGGAAACGAAATCTAAATCTTGGACCGTGAAGCATTAAATATCATGACTTTAATAACCGCGGTTGGGCAAATCAGACCAATTTGCGCGAAAGACACTGGAACTGTTTGTCCTCTGTAATATCGCGTACAATCCTCATAACAATGTGATTGACATTGCCAATGCCAATAATTACGTTCCAACAATAACTATGACACGGCTGATTAGAGGAGACAGCGTTTCATTAGAAACTAGATGGGCTGGCGATAGGTATGTATTAAATTAAATCGTAGTCGAAGCGTGCTAAGATGCTGTTACTAAACGATGTTTTCTGGTTTTCCTACTCTTTATTGATGGCAAACGGCTGAATGATAAAACTATTACCAAGGTATTCACAGTTAAGGTTGAATTATTAAAATTTTATTTAAATTCTAGATCTTCGCAATGAGGCAATATTCACGTTATCAAAAAGAAAAACAAAAACAGATATTTCATCATTACCATGAGTCATCAACAGACAAAGCAATCAACTCATGATACGAAAAAAAGTGTAAAGTTTGACATAAAATCAAGTCTTTATTGCCTTACTGTCCACTAATCACAACACAAACAGAAATAGGTCCCTGCAGTCAAATCCCCACAGGCAAAATTAGCACATGGAAAATAGCACACAATACAACTATTTAAGATTCCACAAAGACGTCACGAAATAACAGTAACGTGCATTTTTTGTCGTTAAGTTCTGACGCTTCGGAGACGCGTCGTCGGAGGCGTCAATGGCTGCGCAGTGACACAGTTAAATCTAACGTCGTCGTTATCTTTAATGTGGAATTAATTCGATGCCCTCATAACGTCAACCGCGAATCAACTAATGTTTTTTCAAACATGTTAGGTACTGATCAGGGACGTACTATTACCGTATCAGTGATACGGGGCCCCAGGGCGATAGGGCCCTGAACGTGTGCAAACAACTAACCCAATAATAAATGTCGTATAGAGCAGAGCCCCCAACAAATTGATCCATTGCTTTCGAATAGATCCCATTGGTATTAAAAACGAATAAATCAACAGGGTCTGTCGTAAGGCACACTACGCCTGGTTCTAATGGGTTGTTCTATCATTTTCCAGAACGGCGATCTCTGCATATCAATCCTGCACCCGCCAGTGGACGACCCGCAGTCTGGCGAGCTTCCCTGCGAGCGCTGGAACCCGACGCAGAGTGTACGCACTGTGCTTCTCTCCGTGATCTCACTGCTGAATGAACCCAACACCTTCAGTCCGGCGAATGTGGACGCCAGCGTCATGTACCGCCGCTGGCGCGACTCGAAAGGAAAGGACAAGGAGTACGAGAACATTATCAGGTGATTATCCAACTTCTAGATCCCAACTTTTTCAACAAATCTTTGGATTTCGTTACTGGACGAAAAGGAACTATGAGGTTTTATTCGCAGCCAAACCTTAGATTCTAACTACACTGGAGTAGTAGGTACTCATAGGAGTACCAGGGGGAGGAAAGGCATTAATTTGCTATTTTCTTCTGGTAAAATTACGTTGTCATTCCAATGATAGTATGTACGTACTTACATACATCTTCCTTTCCTTTTAACTGGATTCGCTTTTCTATTTGAAGTTTATTTGTGGCCAAGCTTTTAATTCGGGCTACACAGTGATTAGAACGTGCTATGATTAGTCCCGTATCGATTGGCCGAACTGACTTCAACATTTGGTTGAACTAAAATTTAGCGTATTACTTATTGTTCCATTTGAGAAAATTCAAAGGCACAAATGGTCTTGCTCACTAAATTATGCCCCTACGAGAATTGAGCCTCGGGGTGTTTTGTGCCTAATCTATTCCCCATTTGCGTGGGCTATGATATAGGCCTACTTACACTTACTCAAATTACAGGCAGCTCGATTCAAATTGTTTATGAGGAGCTTATTTCGTCTGTTGTGAATTATGTATCTTGTTCCATGTTGGCCTATTGGAAAGAACATTTGTAATAAATCTGAACTTATGTCGTGTACGGACACGTTAAAAATGTATATCCTACACAATTTTTTTCGAGTACCTTTCGCACCAACACTACCTCTATTTCCCAGGCATTGGCTATTGGACGTTAGGTCACGTTTAAGTCTAAAATCGATACATACGTTGGTGTACTGGGTCTTGTAAATATTTGTCGTCTTCAGTCTGAATTCTCAAGCGGTTAAATGCTATAATATAAACAGATATTTCTTCCTACCCGACACAATATAATTTTAAATATCTAGTTGTTATTAAAAGCTTTCTCAACATTTTGAGCGAAATCCATATAAGCGGATTTTCAGTTTGATTAAAAAGCAAAAAATTACATTTAACTAGGACACTTGTGTATGTAAATTTTATACAGAATTGCAAGAATAAATAGCAGTCAGTGTACACAAACAATTAAAACTAGTTTATCAGGAGTGCTGATAAGTAAACGACGCACTTCTGAACATTATCTTATAAACAGAGCGAATGTTGCGATTATAACAATACAATAATGATGCAAAAATGCTAAGGAAATAGTAAAGATATGATTCCTTTTCTAATTGAGTCACACACAACACATGGTTGTTGTAACTATAAAACATAGGAGAGATCATCGCGTTGATCAACTTTTAAGTAAGAATTGGAAGAAAAGAGATTGTAGTTATGTCAAGAGACAGTGCCCCCTGGAAATATTCTTGCTTGGCATTGAGAGTGAGATTGGATAGTTATTATTAAATTGTAGTGCAGTTAACTTGCTCATAGTATCCCCAATATTCAGAGTAGAGTTTCAGAGAGAGAATATACGCAGAATTTTCCTATCAAATTTATTTATTATTATAGCTCTATATTCCACATTTTTACAGTTTCATTCAATTAATCTGTATCTCTTGTTTGTGGCCCCACTTGGGTAAAAGCCTCCTCCATCTTTTTCCACCTTTCCCTGTCGCTGGCTATGTGCATCCAATTATTTTTTGCAATCAAAATACAAGCCTAATAATAGCATTAATTTTATGTAATACATATCAAGAAATACCATAAATGTTGTTTTAAACAAGGATACAATAATATCCAACTAAAAATAGTTTCTACTAATACCGTCCAGTCTGTAGATATAAAACAGGTGTCAAAATTGTACAATTTTCTAAGCAATGATTTTATTAGTATTAGTGACGCACTGTAATATCGATGGCTCCTACGTATACTGGCGTAAGTGAAAAAAGTAAATTTTACAGGAGAGCCATTTTAGTGGCCAGAACCATATTTTTGGGTCATATCTTCTGACCTACTAAAACGAATTTAATGAAATTTCACATTTAGCCTTAACATGTAATGCTTTTGCTACTGCTGTTATCAATTTTTATATTTTTCTTATATATTTTGAGATTTTACGCATTGCCCTTTTACGTCGTCACATTTCTATAATTTCATGTATATTGTTCAACGTAAAGAGACTTAAATGACAACGTAAATATAATATTTTAAGCGATTACTCTCTTTATTTATGCATGTAATTATTTTAATTGTTATCATGTGCTATATCAATAATAAATCAGTTAGAAAAAGTTGTTTAATGTATCGTTATTACGTTTTAACGCAAATACGCCCATATACTGTGCTCGAGATTTAGTTAGGTCTTTTAACATAATGTGTCATATTTTTAAAAAATATAAATAACTTGAAAAAATCGAATTGCCTAAGGCGGGAATTGAACCCACGATGCCTTAGGCAGTTCGATTTTTTCAAGTTATTTATAATTTTCAAATTAGTTTGAGATGCGACTCTTAACGCTAAAAATTAAATAACTATATAATGTGTCATAATTTATAAATAAAACAATTTGCTAAATATTTTCATGGCTTTATTTAAGATTTGGATTATAAAAAATATATGTTTATGTAAGCAACTACTCGTATAGATTGACGAATCGTATGATTGGGCTTTATACGTGGCGTAGTTTTGCACATACGCCTATTTGCCTAAAATTTTATTTTGTATCTAATGGAAAAAAAATTTTTTTTTCTTACTGACGTTATAGATTACAGCAAAATGAAATCATTTCTTAAATAATTGGAAAAAGGCGTAAGCGGCAGTTTCGCCTTTATACGTAGGAGCCATCGATATACTACTACTTAATTTTACTGACCATGAGACATACAACCAGGAAATTTAAACCAAATGACATTTTATAACATGTAGCGTAGCGTATGATACATTTGACATATGAATCACTATAATTACCTGTAAGTAACCTACATACTCGGCTACGGGAATGTTGGCATAATAACAATAAATAGTTCCACGATACCAATCTTATGAAAGAGGACAAGTTTTATTGTAGGTAATTGATGTGCCTACATAAACTATTACATGTATATTTGCTAAAGTTATGTTTTTTTTATCATTTTCAGGAAACAAGCACAGGTGGCCCGTATCGAGGCAGAGAAAGAAGGCATTGTAGTACCACTCACATTAGAAGACTATTGCATTAAGACACAAGTCAAATCGTCGACGCAGGAGCCGCAGGTCAGTCTCAACTCAATGTATATTAATACACTTCTAGTTCTACCACAGATTACCTAATAGTTACTGTTGTACCCTTTGGTCCTGCCTGCTGGACAAAGGCCTCACCCAAAGATTTCCACAGCGACCGGTCCTCTAGCATGAAAAACTTTCGTCTTCGAATCGTTTGCGTATTCGACAAAATTCTATACTCAACCTTCAAATTAAACGATAATGTGACAATTTTGATTCTCAAAATAAGTTTTGTGCAACTATTTCTCATACTAAGTTCACTTTACGACACGTTCACTGTGTTCACACGATAGGGCGCTGTTGTAGTTTTCGTACTAAATCTTTTGATGGCGATTCGAATACGCAAACGATTCGAACTCGAAAGTTTTTCGTGCTAGCCGTACTGATCATGGACGTCATTTAGCTGAAACGAGCTAAGGAACCCTTCCGTGTTTTGGACAGTTGTCAAATTAAATACTTTACCAATTAATAATAAACACTTTTTATTGTTTGAAAGAATCGTAACTTATACTAATAACAGCGTGATAGTAAAACGTAAACATCAGTAAAATTATTAAATATTTGTTTTGTTGGGGAATTTCCGTATCTTGTGCCTCGTAATTAGAACCATGGTAAGGAAGGAAATTTATTCTAATTAATTTTTTACGATCGTTACATTACCGACTTGTATAACTAGTTACGATTTCAGGGCGTGTGATCTGCCAAACCGATAACGTGATCGTTTAAGTTTTGCTTCTGGTGGGCAATTCGCGTGCAATAGATTAAAATATTGCACCATTAATTTGTACTTCGGACCCAAATAAAACTATAGTGTCGTCGTCATTTTTGTATGGATTTTAGATTCGACTGGTGGGAATCGCGCGAGTTAAATACTAGAAAAATACGAATCAGTATTTTTCCTCTATTTGTGTATTACTCGAGAATAACTCGCCTGTACGTTCGTTGTCGAACGTAAATTAATGTATTGCGACTGCGATTCGAAAACTACGACGTATTGTTTTTTCAAGTGTGTATTACAAACAGTATGTAACTAATAATAATGAATAACACAATGGTATTGAGATTTTTGCAGTAACGTTAATAATATTATATCGAGTACGTACGTCATATTTTTACAGTAATACCTGAATTTAAATTCACTTGATCTATTTTTAAGTTTGATCACTAAATACATACATAAAAACGTCAGTATCAATGTATTTATTTGTTACAAAAATTCAGTCTCTATTGACGCGGACTGTAAATGGCGCCAACTAGTGAGCGTATTGGCGTGCTAACCTGTTAATCCTATTAATCTTAGCATTCAATTGTCTTCCAGCTGGACATGACGGACTTCTACGACGACGATTACGACGATCTCGACACGGACTCCGACGAGGAGCTCGAGGGCGGCGACGGCGACGCCGACGACAGCGGCAACGGCGAGTCGTGAGGCCGCGCCGCCCGCGCGCGCGCGGCCCCCGCCGCCTCCGCCAGGCGGCTGTAGCGCGGCAGCCAGTGCCGTAACTAGCCTCTAGTCCTCAGTCAGGTCTTTTCGGGTGCCCCCACGAACTCTGTGCCTGGGCCCCGCTCGCATTGACCTAGTTACGGCACTGTCGGGGAGTCGTGAGGTCGCGCCTCCGCCAGGCGGCTGTAGCGCTGCCGCAGCCAGTGCCGTAACTAGCCTACCATACGCCCGGTGCAAGCTGGCAGCGCTCTAGTTCTACGATGTCTGTGCCTGGGCCCCGCTCGCACCGCCCTAGTTACGGCACTGGCGGGGAGTCTTGAGGCCGCGTCCCTGCCTACGCCAGGCGGCTGTAGCGCTGCCACAGCCAGTGCCGTAACTAGCCTACCATTATGCCCGGTGCGCTCTAGTCCTCAGGTCTTTTCGGGTGCCCCCACGATCTTTGTGCCTGGGCCCCGCTCGCACCGCCCTAGTTACGGCACTGTCGGGGAGTCGTGAGGCCGCGCCCCCCGCCTGGCTGGGCGCTGCCGCAGCCAGTGCCGTAACTAAAGCCCGGTCCGTGAGCACGTAGAATTTTGTCCAATGACCCCTAGCTCATTAAAAAAAAAACTCATTTATTTTTGCAAATAGGCTTTTAAAAAGCACTTTCACACGTCCCAATATTAACCCTACCACTGCTTCGGGACAATAAATGGGCCAGTGCTGAGAAGAAGCAGCGCAAGAAACTCAGTCACTATTGTCAGCCTCCTTTTCAAGGGTTTACAGCTACCCATCCTTATCGCTCGCACGTAATTATATTGCTGTCGCGACTGTGCGACTGGCACCCGCAGTGAGTGTGCGAGCGCGATAGCAACATAATTACGCGCGAGCGATAAGGATGGGTAGCTTGGGATCATTGGACAAAATTCTACGTGCTCACGGACCAGACTATAGCCTACCATACGCCCGGTGCAAGCTGGCAGCGCTCTAGTCCTCAGGTCTTCGGGTGCCCCCACGATCTTTGTGCCTGGGCCCCGCTCGCACCGCCCTAGTTACGGCACTGTCGGGGAGTCGTGAGGTCGCGTCTCCGTCAGGCGGCTGTAGCGCTGCCACAGCCAGTGCCGTAACTAGCCTACCATTATGCCCGGTGCGCTCTAGTCCTCAGGTCTCTTTGGGTGCCCCCACAATCTCTGTGCCTGGGCCTCCGTCGCATCGCCCTAGTTACGGCACTGTCGGGGAGTCGTGAGGCCGCGTCTCCCGCCTGCGCCAGGTGGCTGTAGTACTGCCAGTGCCGTAAATAGCCTTTAGACACCCCGCAGACTACAGACTTTTAGCCGGCCAATAGTTTGGTTGAGCTGTTAATCAGTATGAACACGTATGAAAGTTCGCACATTACACCGATTTCGTATTGGCTCCTCATACAAATTAAAAACTGACTAAACTATCTTCCGACTAAAAGTTTGTAGTCTGCGGGGTGTCTTTACGCCCATTGTAAGCTTCATAAGCTCTGGTCTTTCTGCGTCCTGGACCTGGGGCCCGCTAGCACCGCCCTAGTTACGGCACTGTTCGACAGTAGCATCGGGGCTGCACGTTGTACGGATTACTACTTACCAACACTAGCATCGGGGCAATACACTGTATGGACATCCCTACTACTTACCTACACTCTAGCATCAGGACGTAAAGGGACATAACGTCGTAATCACAACGGAAACTGTTTAAAATTCTAGCATCATGACAACCCTCCATTCAAGTATCGGGCATCATGCTGTAATGACAATCTTACATTCTATGAACATAACGCTATTCATTAGAGTGTTGTTGTCATCAACTACTTTTTAAAAAGGTCTCACTCAACCAAACTCAGCACTTTAGTGTTGACGACAGATATGTACATTTATTAGTCTTTCTAAATGTTGTTGTTTTTTGAAATTTTATTTTCCCTGGAGGATTAACACAAAATAAACTATGTAATCATTTTCTTTGTTTCGCAGTTTCGTGACAAATTTTCGGCTAAATGACATTCTTAACGTGGTTTCTAAATATTATAAATATCGCTTTAATGATACTTACCTTCTATTTTAACCTTTACTGTGTTCTAACTAAATCTAAATGTATGTATTGTACATCTCTTAGAATTTGACCAGTGTACATTTGTAGCTGGACCATTTAAATAATACATTTAATTGTTATTATGTCTAGTCCCCAGTTAGAAAAGAAAATATATAAAAATAAACTGTAACATAATTCACTTACTTTTGTAGACATAAATATGTAACATGCACATTCAACTTTTAAGTCGCTAATAAATGATCCAATTGAACAAAAGTTATTTAATTAATATTACTGTATCAATTAATAGTTTAAAATTTATGAGACGCAATATACCTAAACATTTTATTTTCAATCGGTCGATCTCCACTTACAAAATGAATTGTGAGCGCGTTACGCTTGTGTGTCAATAACATAATATGCATTAAAATAGTTTTGGTATTAAATGGAAATGCAGCATCAGTTGGTATGTCCCCTCTTAGATGCTAGTGGAGTCTTATTATGTATATGTAGAAGTATTAGTCATAGAAACCAGGCAAAACAGTCCTAGCCTTGCGGAGCGCACTCCTATTTGCCGTACTAGTTAATGATTAACTTGTGCTAATCATTTTATCACATTACCTACTTATTTGCCCTTTACTGTCTTAGTAGAAATGGATAGTTAATATTATAAGTGAATGAGTCCTTTTCCTTCCTTTATCTTCTTACTATCTGATTACGTAACTGTTAGGATTACAATTTATATAATAATGTAGAGAAATATTATAATTAATTTTGTCAATAACATGACTTCTGTGATTATAAAACGTATTGCCTATATTGTTTCATTTTATACGTCATTTTGTTTAATTCATTATTAATGTTATCTGCAGTTTGAATCTTTCTATTTTTGGAGCATTTTAAATATTGTAATAATTTTGAATGGATCTTGCAATTCATTCCTTTGTTGTGTTGGTTTTTATTTGAACTCGAGGAAAATATTTAAAGTATTTTTACATGAATGTACCCATATATTTTGAACTTACTATTTCACGTGTGGATTATATTATGTACTACGTAACTTAAATGACGACAAAATCCGTTGTATAAAGATTTTAATATAACTCGTCTATTAGAATCTGCTCAATCAAAATATGCTAACAAGACGCAGTATAATGTGTTAGGTTTAGAGGACATTCATAATGATGATCGAAATTATTTGTAATATAAATACGTTAAGAACCTAAGTGAAAATGAAATTTAATGGTTAGTGTGCACTAAGATAAATTTATATACCTAGATATTATATAACTTATATATTGTAACTTGTACGATTCTTTAAGATTAGATTTATCAACTACCTACAGTTTTGGCTTCTAAATTTCTATATAGCTGTGCATGTACAACATTATCTTGTAATATCTGATTAGATGCTACTTTCTTAATAATTCATTAAAGTATAATAATGTAACTCCTCTCAGTTGGTCGCTAAAAGTAATAAATTCTTTTTGGGTAATAATAACAAATCGTCCAAAACTTAACAGTTAGTTTAGAATTAAGCTACCTACGTCATAAGTTGTTTGAAGATTGTAGTAGAGAAATTTCACGACGAGAATGTTAATTACATTATGATATAATAAACAGAATGTGTTTGAATGCGAAATCTGCTTTTATTTTTAACATCATAAGACACATTTTACTAATTGTATCTACACTAGGACTAGACAATACAGGTGTTACTTTGCATTCTTGCCATATTTACAGAGGTAACTATACAGGGTGGAATTTTGTAATGCCACCTGGAGGGAAAGTACTCTTAATACTGTAGATAAAAATTTTACTCAGAAACATTCCTTAATTTTGGAAAAGTGAACAACAAAACCCGTTTCACTTTCGGAAAGTCCAAAACTTGCTTCCTCAAGATAACGCCTCAATGAGTACAATGTACATTCGTTATTCTATGTATTATGTTAATAAGTTCTAATTAATTTGCCAGTAATATTTTAGTGTGCTTAATACAGTGTGAGTCACGTTAAAGTGTACATATGAAAATAAATGAAACTAGACCTATTTTTATCGACAAAAAAGAGGTCAAAATTTTTTGGAGATTTTTTTTTAATTTTTTATAGAATTTTTTTTCTTCCAATTACTTATTTATTGTAAAGAAAACGTAATAACTTTTAAACTAAGAGGTATATCCTGATAAAATAAAAACAGTAATAATGCTAAATAACAGGCGATACTAAAAAATACATAAAATACACAAAAAAAGGCCAACAAATAATAAAAAATGATACTTTTTGAACAAAAACCTGCTTAAAAATTCGTGTTTTTTTGGTTATTTGATAAATTTCTACAAAAAATGCCCCTATAACTGGTGGTTTTTATTACTTTGTATTATTCTCTATCGTATTACCTTCGTAAAACCATCATAGCAAATATTGTGATAGGGATAGAGACATGCGATTTTTGGTTTTACAAAGATTATACGATAGAGAATAATACAAAGTAATAAAAACCACCTGTTATATAGGCATTTTTTTGAGAAATTTATAAAAAACCAAAAAAATACGAATTTTTAAGCAGATTTTTTTCAAAAAGTATCATTTTTTATTATTTGTTGGCATTTTCTGGGTATTTTATGTATTTTTTCAGTATCGCCTGTTATTTAGCATTATTATTGTTTTTATTTTATCAGGATATACCGCTTAGTTTAAAAGTTATTACGTTTTCTTTACAATAAGTAATTGGAAGAAAAAAATTCTATAAAAAATTAAAAAAAAATCACAAAAAATTTTTGACCTCTTTTTTGTCGATAAAAATAGGTCTAGTTTCATCTATTTTCATATGTACACTTTAACGTGACTCACACTGTATAAATGCGTTCGTTTCGTTAATCGAGTATTTTCGGGCAAGTGGGTGATTAACCTGCTGTACCCTAGTCCGGTGGTGGGGCTGCCACCTCAGAGCTTCTGAGCCCCGATTACGGTAATTTTTAACGTCAACAATCCAGACACGCTTCTCGATTTTGAGATACGATTGGTCGTTCAACAGCGTACGTCAGCTGTTTTGACCAATCGTATCGCAGAATCAGAAACGCGTCTGGATTGTAGACGTTATAAAAGTTACCGTAATCGGGGCTCTGGACTCGCTCGGTTTTTTCCGGGTATCCTCCCTAGTGATGGGATTCTGTTTTCAGGCGCAGAATACTCGCCTTTCGCCCTGCATCCTCAGCTCAGCTGCAAGTCTAGGTAGTGGGCACGCAAAGCGTGGCTGCAGCAGGTCCCAGGGTGGACGATATCAATGCCATATCAAATTAAATTAACAATTCCTATGTTTAAATTACTTAGCTTGCTTGTTTGGCCAATATATCCATGTCTAGACCCTAAATGTAAAAAAAGTCAAATCCACACTCTATGGTTTCATTTGACAGCCACATTGACATTTGATTTAAGTGATGTGATACGATACGATAGTGTCGCTATCGATGTATGTTTCAGAACTTTAAATAAATTGATAATAATTTCTTACTAAGGCCGTTTCCTGTCTTGTCGTTGCGGTAGCGGCACGACCATCAAAACGCTCGGCATACGCGGTACCGAAAGCTTACCGAGCGCCTATATTTCAATAGAGCGTTCCTGATTGGCGTGGCATGTGCGGCAGTGGCGCGGCACATACTCAATTAGGAACGCTCCATTTAAGTATAGGCGCTCGGTAGCCTTCATAGAGTTTTAGTCAGAAAACGGCCTAAGAGTAGTAAATTATATTATTTTCAGTCTGTCGTATTATTCAAGATTTAAGCAAATAAATATAATTTATTTCATTTCATTTGATTTTTATTGTAATACCTATTCTTACATGAAATAGTTACGTTTTAAAAGAAAAATCAAAATGAATGGATTGAATTGGGTTTAATATTTTAGTCACGTAAAAATGTCGACATACAAACAGCCAGCTTGTCTTGTGACATCACTAGAAAATTTTGATAAAAAAATATCGATGGCGCAAGGAACGTAAACATCGTAGAAATAGTTTATTTTCTTTAATTTTTACATCGCTAGTCACAATGAGTTTTGTTAGTGATTTATCGCAGTCAAATGAATACTTAAGTTTCCGAAGCAGCATTCCACTTAGGAAAATTGTGGTAGATTCCGATGGATCTAAGGTAAGTAAACAGTTCTTTGCTTTCTTGATTTCAAGGCTGCTGTCTTGTAAATTATTGTAATAAACGAGAGGTTACACATTAAAATCTGTTTCTTACAGGCATGGAAAATATTCGATTGCGGTCCAAAGTCGGTCAGTTGTCCTTTAGTTTGTTTACCACCAGTATCTGGTACAGCTGATATTTTTTACAAACAAGTCATGGGGCTGGCTTCACGTGGAGTTCGTGTCATATCAGCGGAACCACCGCCCTATTGGAACATGAAGGAATGGTGTGACGGGTTTAAACGTCTCATAGACTATCTGGAACTTGATAAGGTTCATATTTTTGGAGCGTCTTTAGGTAAGTAAGGTTGTTTCTTTAATTTTCAGAAAGTTATTAGTTACTACTTCTATTTATTCTTAATTTTATTACAGGAGGTTTTATAGCACAGAAATTTACGGAAGTAACACAGAATTGTCCCCGAGTGGCCTCTCTAATCCTTTGCAACAGCTTCACCGACACCTCCGTATTTGAGTACAATGACTCATCTGCATTATTTTGGCTTCTTCCTTCTCTTGTACTAAAGAGGATGTTAATGGGCAACTTCGTTTCCGATAAAGTTGACAGACGAATAGCGGAATCTATTGACTTCATGGTTGAGAGAGTATGTATTTTGTTTTTTAATTTGTTCATTCCATATCAGTTACAGTACTAACTTGGTGTATGTTTCTAAGTTGCTTTCAAATTGCCAAGGTTATGACTAAAACTGAGGTACAGTTTATTTGTTGAGTGATTTAGTTAATACTTGTAAGCTGTGTTTATCTAAGATTAAAGTAAATACAACACATATTTGAGATATAAATAAACTCATTGTTCTTTTCTAAAACGAAATTTTAACATGAAATAAATGCATAAGATTAGGCTATTGTAATGGACCAATTTATTTATTTTACAGCTTGAATCACTAAACCAGTCAGAGCTGGCCTCAAGGTTAACACTCAACTGCACACCGAGCTACGTACAACCAACAGTACTTAAAAACCTTCCAATCACTATAATGGACGTCTGGGATGAGAGTGCCTTAAGTTCGCAAGTCAGAGAGGACCTATTCAAGTCCTATCCACAGGCAAAGTTGGCCCACCTAAAGAGTGGTGGGAATTTCCCGTACCTTAGCAGAAGTGATGAAGTCAACTTACATTTATTAGTAAGTATTCAGATTATACTAAATGTGTTGTAATTACATAATTGATCTGCCAACGCCTTAGTATTTTTTAAGTCGTAACACATTGACCTCATTACAATGATGATAATGGCAATGATAATAATGATTTACATGGAAACAACAGCATTGTAATTTAAGTTGAAACTCATTTGTGATAGCTTTAACTGGTTTTGATAATTTACTTTTGTAAAACTTTACCAATTATTTTTTAAGGAAACCTGAATTAAGTAGTAAGGTCGTAATTACATGTATCCCTACTAGGTAAAGTACTGATATGGTATTCTCTCTTCTAGATACATCTAAGGCAGTTTGATGGCAGTGACCTGACAGCATCATACCTAAATCTCCACAAAGTCCCGACGTCACCCACAAATCCTGAAGAAGGCACCGTCAGCTATTTTAATCAAACAGATAAATTCGTTAAAATCTCATAAGTTTCAACTCTGTTATATTTAGGTGTAAGAACAAATGTTTTAATAAAAATAATATCTGTTTAACTGTATAAGCGCTAGTCTGCTAACAAGTCCTTTTAGTACAGAATTATTTTTATAACTACCACTTACTTAAGAGGCCAACTTATAAAGATAAGACTGTATATTGTAATCAAAATTACGTTAGCATTTAATTTATTGGCATGTTAATGCGGAGTGCATTCGACTTTTCAATGAACTCATATGAACAATAAAATAGAACTATGTTTCAAGTTAATTTATTTCTTTTATTTAACAACAAGCACTACTTAACAGCTCTAATCTCTTTCTAACTTATGTAAATTCTGATCTTTTTTCTCTTTCTGGGCTTGGAGGGCCTTTTCTCTTTCCTCATCATCTGAGAAGTATTCTGCGAGGCTGTCTTCTTCGCGCGGGATGGCTGGACCGGCCATAGTGGAGCCTTTTTCTGTGAGCGCGGTCAGTTTGACTAGGGGGTCATTGTAATCCTCTGAGATTTCCTGGGTTTGGGTGTTTTGTGTATTGTGCGCCGTCACCGTTGAATATATTGACATGGCCTGAAACAAAAAATACATTGAATCTCAAGCAACTCGTTTTGTAAGTGAAAGTACGACTCGCTTTTACGCAGTTGCGTGCATCTCATGTTTGCATTCGTCATAATGAATAATGAATTCTAGTGAAACACGTATTTGCTGTTTTAGCTTGAGTAATGTGGAATTGTGGATCTGTATTGGTGTCGGCGGTGGAATTCGTTAAATAAATAGGCAGTTTGAAACTGGCTGTGAAATTGCTTGTAATTCAGTGATATCGCTCATCAATTGACGTAAGTTTAGGTATCTAGGCATTATATTATGGGCTTTCAATGCACAAGAAAATTGGGTAAGCATCAAAAACGTGAAAAATAGCATAATATAAAGTTTCCTCAATAACCCATAACGCCAATGATGGCAATAAATGAATGAGCACTTGTGTATTTATGCATTTAACTTGTACAGGTCCGTCTTGATGACCTATAAGTATTGAATACAATTTTGAGGTTGCATACCAAACTCATTGGCCGCGCGCCTGGCCGGTTAGAAAATACTNGCAAGAAAGTAGCAAAAGTTTGAATAAGACCGTCGGTGAACTTACCAAAAAAAAAACTCTAAATGTATTTTTCACTTTTTTAAACTTATGAAAATTTAAAGAGATGAAGCGCACCAAAGTTCAAAAGATGAGGCACATGACGTCAAGGCATGCTTAAAAATGTGGCGATTTGTGTCGTCACGCGGAATTTCATCGCATCATTATCTTCGTAATTACTTATTTAATTGAAAAATAAAAATATCCCGTGTCCAATATTTTTTGATAATGTAAAATTGACGGACCAAAAGTCTTTTTAAAATCTATATATAATAAAAGAAAGTCGTGTTAGTTACTCCACTTATAACTCAAGAACGGCTGAACCGATTTAGCTGAAAATTGAGGTAGTTTAGAGCCAGGAGTAAAATCAGGGAGGTAGTTTAGAGCCAGGAGAAGGACATAGGATACTTTTTATCCCGTTCGAAAAAAAAAGTCTTCTTATTTATTGCCATTAAGGCGGAACAAAGTTCGCCGGGTCAGCTAGTTCTTCATAAGTGATAGACAAAAGCAGAAACATTTGCTTTTTTAAGCCATAGACCATACTAGGTAGGTACTAATGCGTTCCAATAGGGATGATGACTGGGTAATGAAATCGAAATTCTATTTAGTCCGTCAGACAGATAATTAATTAGAAAATATTAGGTTCATATTTTTTAATTTTTTCCATAATCGAATAATTACAGTATTATGTTGAGTTGAAATGTCGCGTCGTGACGTCACATTTGAGTAAAAATTCTACTCAAGCGTGGCGTATCGCGCCATTTCAACTCGATGTAGCACTGTTATTATTTAATTATGAAAGAAAATAAATAATAACTAATATTTTCTAATTATCTGTCTGGCGGACAAATAATTGAAATTTTGTCATCTAGCCTAGTTGTCGTCAGGAAGTTGGTCTAATTAACTAATTCAGCTTGCAACTAATTCAGCTTGCAAGATTCCACCCGAACAAACATTTATGTAATTACCTACATANACTTTATAGATCTTTCTGATGCACTCGTTAGCGACAACGTTACAGCACACAAAAAAAATGTTTCTCAGTTATATTACTCCAAAACTATTAAATTTCGGATTTTTTTTAATATCACGTGAGATTTGGGGGTGGGGGAGGGGGTCAGGCAAAATCTCACCAAATCTCACCAAGGGGGGCGGGGGGGTTGAAAAATAGCCAAAATTGTCTCACGTAATTTATGGACGCCCCCAAACAAGGTAAGTATACCAGTTACAATAACAGTGATTGATGAATTAAATTGAGGCGACACTAGCTCAGTGTCGGACTGCCAATACGAGGAAGGCTGGTTCATTTTCCGCTGCATGATGCACTAATATTGTCGTAAATACACCCACTCCTACCTAACACAAGCATTATATTTAGCTTATAGCTGGACGGTAATGTTAGTATTTTTTAAATTCTCTTATGAAACCAACCGCCGCCAACCGCCTCTGTGGTCTAGTGGTAAGACCACCTGCTTCAGACGCAGAGGTCCCGGGTTCGATTCCCAGTGGGGGCAGATTTTTCTGTTCGGTTTGGTTGGTGGTAGGGCTTGTTCTAAGTCCGCCTGGCTAGCTACCACCATCTTACCTAAGTCAGTCGCCATAACAACAATGTTAACAGCATTGTTGTGTTCCGGCAGTTAGAGGTAAGATAGCCAGTTCCTCCGTGGTTGAGGATTCCGGGTGAAGCTCGCTTCCACCTTCGGCCTGATCATCACTTACCATCAGGTGAGATACAGGCCAAGAGCTTCCTCGTTGTGGATAAAAAAAATCCGGCTCGAAGGACCAATTTTTTTTTTCATCTATTTGTGGCACTCACTTGGGGATGGAGGCGGCGGACGCGACTGTGCGACGGGCGCCCGCAGTAAGTGTGCGAACGCGACAGCAACATAATTACGCGCGAGCGATAAGGATGGGTAGCTTGGGGTCATTGGACAAAATTCTACGTGCTCGCGGACCAGACTATAGCGCTGCTCCAACTTGGCGCACTCGCCCTCCAGCGCCAGCAGCCGCTCGTCGCGCTCGCGCAGCCGCCGCAGCCTGGACGACTGCACTCACTTGGGGATGGAGGCGGCGGACACGGCGGCCTGGCGCAGCGCGGCCTCCTCGAGGTAGCGCTGCTCCCACTTGGCGCACTCGCCCTCCAGCGCCAGCAGCCGCTCGTCGCGCTCGCGCAGCCGCCGCAGCCTGGACGACTGCACTCACTTGGGGATGGAGGCGGCGGACACGGCGGCCTGGCGCAGCGCGGCCTCCTCGAGGTAGCGCTGCTCCCACTTGGCGCACTCGCCCTCCAGCGCCAGCAGCCGCTCGTCGCGCTCGCGCAGCCGCCGCAGCCTGGACGACTGCACTCACTTGGGGATGGAGGCGGCGGACACGGCGGCCTGGCGCAGCGCGGCCTCCTCGAGGTAGCGCTGCTCCCACTTGGCGCACTCGCCCTCCAGCGCCAGCAGCCGCTCGTCGCGCTCGCGCAGCCGCCGCAGCCTGGACGACTGCACTCACTTGGGGATGGAGGCGGCGGACACGGCGGCCTGGCGCAGCGCGGCCTCCTCGAGGTAGCGCTGCTCCCACTTGGCGCACTCGCCCTCCAGCGCCAGCAGCCGCTCGTCGCGCTCGCGCAGCCGCCGCAGCCTGGACGACTGCACTCACTTGGGGATGGAGGCGGCGGACACGGCGGCCTGGCGCAGCGCGGCCTCCTCGAGGTAGCGCTGCTCCCACTTGGCGCACTCGCCCTCCAGCGCCAGCAGCCGCTCGTCGCGCTCGCGCAGCCGCCGCAGCCTGGACGACTGCACTCACTTGGGGATGGAGGCGGCGGACACGGCGGCCTGGCGCAGCGCGGCCTCCTCGAGGTAGCGCTGCTCCCACTTGGCGCACTCGCCCTCCAGCGCCAGCAGCCGCTCGTCGCGCTCGCGCAGCAGCCGCCGCAGCTCGGCCTCGTCGCCGCCGCCCGACCCGCCGCCGGCGCCCGGCCCGCCGCAGTAGCACTCGCGTTTCCTAAGAGACAAACATGAAGGTACTGTCGGTCAGTTCCAATGTAATGTGTGACGATCGGGAGACACAATGAAACAGATGTGCGCACTGTAGGTTTATTTGTATAGAATGAAGATTATCCTAAGCTTATTCAGGGTGGAATTTTGTAATGCCACCTGGAGGGAAAGTACTCTTAATATTGTAGATAGAAAAATTTTCTCAAAGAAAACATTCCTTTATTTTTGAAAAGAAATAGAACTGCATTCAAAAATTTCCAAAAATTTGCTTGCCACACCCGGGATTCGAACCAACTAAAATCTGTTAAAAATTACACCCTGTATTTTTATTGCATCTATCATTAGGGTTAAGTATAAGGATAAAATCTCTCTAACAAACTTGATAAATCAAATAAAAGGAAAACCATGAAATCTTAAATTATTTTAATTATGTACAGGAAATTGTATGGTATGGTAGATAATTTTCGAAAAATATTCGAAAATCTTTGAATGCAGTTCTCTTTCTTTTCAAAAATAAAGGACTGTTTTCTTTCAGTATAATTTTCTATTTACAGTATTAAGAGTACTTTCCCTCCAGGTGGCATTACAAAATTCCACCCTGTATACTAGCTAGTGGTTTATGCCTAATATAGGGAAAGGATGCGTACACACTACACCAGCTACCCATTTCTGGTCATGTCGTCTCGTTCTATCGCAAAGAATAACCATCTGATGAGAGCGAGAGAAAAAACAGAAATGTGTAGCTAGAACTGCGGCCGATTGTACAAGTCAAAGACCGCAAATGCAAACGACGGTTTCTGTCACTATGAAATGGATTTCAAGCATGGCAACACGACCAGCGCAGACCGCAACATCAGTAACTATTCAACCGCAAAGAGTTCACACTTCACACGTACAACGCAAGTATGGGAGTAACTGAGGCATTGTTGCAATCCATGCATTGTGCAGTCGCGGATAACGCCACGCTTGGAATAGAAGTAACAACCATGACTTCAGGTAGCACTGTAGTCAACCGCAACAAGCTGCTGTGTCGCCTGCGGTTGCGTCTGTAGTCCATTTACACTTATTATACCTTGATGAAAATGTTTGCCACAACATGCGTGTTTTATACAATAGCTCAGCGGTTCCCGAAAGGTGGTCCGCGGAACCCTGGGGTTCCGTGGAAAGGCCGCAAGGGTTCCGTAAAAAATATTATCCCACGTTTCGTTACCGACGTTGTTCGCTCGCACCGACTTGTTTACGCACACGGGAGGGGCAGGGCGTGCGGGCGGAGTAGTACGGGGGTTTCGCTAGGAAAAGTATAATCAATTAGGGTTCCTTGGCAAAAAAAAATTGGGAAACCCTGTGTACAGGTCCGTATTGATGACGTAGAAGTAATAAATAAAATTGTAAGGTTGCATACCAAACTCATTGGTCGCGCGCCTGGCCGGTTAGAAAATGCTTTTTACTTTTTTGCGTTTTTTCATCGATTGTCACTTTTTTTCTCTTTTGTCTTGAATTTTCTACCAAAACGAAATGTAATTTATTTTATTTTGAAGCAATATAATTTTACATTTTACATTTAACAAAGCCTTTCAATTAATAAATATCCCTCGTAGTGAAAGACGTAAATTTCCGTTCATGGTCCTACGAGTCGGATTGGCTTTGAAAGTGGTAGGGAAGTTTCGGTAGTCCATGGTGGAATACCGCCTGTACGTAATAACTGGATAGCAAGCTGCTATTTCGGAGTCCACACGGCAGTGGAAGGGTCCGGTCTCTGGATGGAGGCTGGATAATAAACGTACGGGAGGAGCAGTTAAGTCGTTGGCAGCGGTTGGTGGCAGCCAAGGAGCGCTAGGGAGCGCTAAATTCGAACGAGCAAAGCGAGCGTGAGTAAGAAGTACGAGCCTAGGAGCTGATGGTGCACGTAATATCATCTTCAAGTGTGTGTTGTGAGAGTGCAATTGCAATCGTGAGTAGTTTAAACATTATTTACTTTGAAACGGAAAGAAGAAAGAAAATTAACTTTGAACATTTACATTACTAACGTTGCATTTTTTCATGTTTACTTGTTTTTTGTTTTATTAACTGTATATTTTGCTGTGCGTGTGTATTTTTGTTTTTGTATTACTTGTTGTGTATATTGTTGATTTTATTTGTCAACTATGGAACCATTGGCTAAGGTTCAAGAGGCCACTAAGGCCGCAATCGAAAGAGCTTTTACAAACTTCAAAAAGTGTCCAAAAGACAGGTTAAGTCAAGCTTATCTTGAAACTAGGTTGGAGACATTAGAACAGCACTGGGCTGTCTTTTTTAAAACTCAACAAGAGATTGTCAGTAGCATTGACGAGGATGAACTGCAAGAGTCTGATTATTATAAAGACAATGTGTTTGACGAGGTAGAGGAATTGTACATGGACTACAAGTCACATATTAAGGAGAAATTAAACATGTTAGTTTCATTGCCTACTTTCAAATCACACAATGAATCAGCTCCACAAACAACGCAGTTCAAATTACCTGAAATAAAAATACCTACATTTTCAGGTAGGTACTTAGAGTGGCAAACTTTCAGAGATTTGTTCACAGGACTGGTCCACAATAATAATTCTTTAGATTCAGCACAAAAATTATACTACTTGAAAGCTTATCTTGTGGGAGATGCTGCTCAACTCTTAAAAAATATTTCAGTTACAACTGAAAACTACTTGAGCAGCTGGGAAAAGCTTGAGAGTATGTATAATAAAACGGCTAATTCAAGCACAAAGGTAGGAAATCTTGATGATAAAGTTGTGTCATGTTTATCGACTGGAAATTGTAAAGAAACTGTTCTGTTACCAACAGCATTGGTTAAAGCCAAGTCGAGGGATGGCACTTACCGTGATATGCGAGCCTTGTTAGATCAAGGTTCGCAAGGCTCTTTTATAACTGAATCAATGGTTCAGTACTTAGGACTAAAGAAAAACTTTAGTAAACACACTGTGACAGGTGTAGGGGGAGACAATACTTTGTTGTCTAAATCATACGTGACTTTACACTTAAAGTCGAGGTTTGATCCAACTTTCAACATGCAGATTAACGTTTACGTTTTAAAGGCAATAACATCTCTTCTTCCATCCGTAGAAGCATGCCCTGTAGATTTGTTAGGGTTAACAATAGGAGACCTTGCTGATCCGGAATATTATAAGCCAAATAAAATTGACGTTCTGCTAGGTGCTGAAGTATACAGCCAAGTGGTTCGAGCAGGTATTGAACGCAGTGCATCTAGCCGTGTGTTAGCACAAGAAACGACTTTTGGCTGGATACTGTCTGGAGTCGTTGAAGCAGATTCCCTATCTAGGACCGATTCATTTACTAACACTACAGTTATGCATGTAAGTATGGAGAATGATGACATGTTGAAGAAATTCTGGGAGCTTGAAGGAGAACCCTGCGTGGCCAAAAAGATGTTGACTGAAGAAGAGGTAAAATGCGAACAGTTATTCGTAACCACCACACGACGTGATGACAGTGGTCGTTATGTAGTCAGACTGCCCTTCAAGGATGATATTCGAAGCTGCGCAGAAGGTGGATCTAAACTAATAGCTGAAAAGAAACCTAAACACACTCACAAATTTAGAAGAAACAAAAACACTTACCTGTATCGTTGACGATGACTGTATGAGAATAGGAGGTAGGTTAGAAATGTCACAGTTAAATTATAATCAAAAACTTCCGATATTACTTTGGAAAAATTCGTTTTTGACACAAACTTTTGATTGTTGATGCTCATATTAAGACAATGCACGGGGGTCCACAGGCTATGGTAACATATCTGAGGACAAAATACTGGATAACTGGTGTAANAGGTGGCAGGAGCTGGCCATAGGAAGTCCTAAACGAAACGGCGGAAGCTTATCGAGTTTGGGTTCGTTGGATTTGTCTTCCCGAGCACTTAGGCCATGAGATTGAGAAACAACTAAAAAGTTTAAAATAAAGTTGTAATAAAAAAAACTTTTTTAAAAACAAGCTTGACTTCGTTTTAAAATTATAATTGACTTCATCATCAGGACCCTGGACATCATCTAGCACTAAAGTGCTCTAAAAGACAAATCCAACGAACCCAAACTAGATGCAATTCCGCCGTTTCGTTTAGAAGTACCTGTGGCCACCTCCAGTTTCAGCTCAATCGGTTGAGGAGAACTGGTTTTAAATTCAGTTGCAAGATTTTATCCCATACTAACTAACAAGCGAAGTGCTTTTACGCATATCTTTTTTGCGACTAGACTTCTTAGAGTATTATACCATTTTGGAATCTTGGATAGTTGCGTCAACTTTATAAAAAACTTGCCGCAGTAGTGTTCAGACTTTTTTTTTACAAAACGGTAAGTAAAAGTGGAGTGAAAGTAAAAATCGTTCAAAATTTTAAGGAAATAAAATATTTTGATTAACTTTTGTGTAAAAACTGCAAGGATTCTGTGGGTTTTAAGAGTTGGGGTGGACAGCAACACTACTTAAGTTGCCGATACAAACAAAAAAACAGAAATATTTGAAAAATGGTGGTCGTGGTAATGTAAAATATCATAAGGGGTGTCAATATTCGAAGAATTTCGTAATTTATTGTGTAACTTAAAAAATAATTGAGATAGTTTTTTTTCTTATTTTTCCTAAAGTAGTCATGACTACGTCCATCCTGCGGCGTCGGCTTATCCTTGAATTTTGGGACACGTTGACTTTTCGGATAGATCCAGTTAATTCTGTAACCTATTACTGATATCGTTTGAAAGAGCTCGTGAAGCACTTTCAAGATCAATAAGCAGTTTTTCGATATCTTGTGTAGTTTAGAAATAATCGAATGAGATCACTTATCGTTTCCACCCTGTATTAATAGTACTCACAGTGAACTGCTCACTAGTCTTCACTCAATAATCAAATCAATAAATAATTATAAAAAAAATATAAATAAACATAAGTTATAAGTTGCACTTTCACATCGACAAAAGAAAATATATAATTTTACTGAAACAAAAAAGTACAACTATTAAAACAAAAAGGAGTAATCTAGTTATGACAAAAAAAAACATAACATAGATCACTCTAATCCTGAAAAATAAAAAACTATATGAAAGTAATCTAATTATGAACAAAATTATGTCATAATTTAGATCAATCCACTTCATTAGATAAAAAACTAAAAAGGAGTAATATAATTATGACTAATGTAGATCACTCCAAACCTGAAAAAAAAAATGCTTCATCAAGATCAAAGGTCTTTCTAGAGCATAAATTAATTAAATCCCTCATTTTACAATCACTTGGAAATTTCGGGAGACAAACAGTGTTTTGGTACACAAAATCTCAATGTTTCCCTGACTTTCCAGGTGACCCCTCTATTTCACTGACTTTCCCTGACTGCTATGAGCTTCCCTGACTTTTCCCTGACTTTCCAGAATGTGGACACCCTGTTTATCGACTGGCAATTGTAAAGAAACTGTTCTGGTACCAACAGCAATGGTTAAAGCCAAGTCGAGGGATGGCACTTACCGTGATATGCGAGCCTTGTTGGATCAAGGTTCGCAAGGCTCTTTTATAACTGAATCAATGGTTCAGTACTTAGGACTAAAGAAAAACTTTAGTAAACACACTGTGACAGGTGTAGGGGGAGACAATACTTTGTTGTCTAAATCATACGTGACTTTACACTTAAAGTCGAGGTTTGATCCAACTTTCAACATGCAGATTAACGTTTACGTTTTAAAGGCAATAACATCTCTACTTCCATCAGTAGAAGCATGCCCTGTAGATTTGTTAGGGTTGTCAATAGGAGACCTTGCTGATCCGGAATATTATAAGCCAAATAAAATTGACGTCCTGCTAGGTGCTGAAGTGTACAGCCAAGTAGTTCGAGCAGGTATTGAACGCAGTGCATCTAGCCGGGTGTTAGCACAAGAAACGACTTTTGGCTGGATACTGTCTGGAGTCGTTGAAGCAGATTCTCTATCTAGGACCGATTCATTTACTAACACTACAGTTATGCATGTAAGTATGGAGAATGATGACATGTTGAAGAAATTCTGGGAGCTTGAAGGAGAACCCTGCGTGGCCAGAAAGATGTTGACTGAAGAAGAGGTAAAATGCGAACAGTTATTCGTAACCACCACAAGACGTGATGACAGTGGTCGTTATGTAGTCAGACTGCCCTTCAAGGATGATATTCGAAGCTGTGCAGAAGGTGGGTCTAAACAAATAGCTGAAAAGAGATTTAAGGGTTTGGAAACTAAACTGTTAAAGAAAATTAAATTGAANCAAACTTTTGATTGTTGATGCTCATATTAAGACAATGCACGGGGGTCCACAGGCTATGGTAACATATCTGAGGACAAAATACTGGATAACTGGTGTAAAGTTAGCAGTCAAAGCTTATTTTCGAACATGTGTTATTTGCACAAGGTACTCAAATAAAACACGAGAGCAACTTATGGGTCAGCTTCCCTCGGCACGCGTTACACCAAGCAAACCATTTCTTTGTAGTGGAGTAGATTACGCAGGTCCAATTAATATGCGTTTGTCGAAGGGTAGGGGCAACAAATCATATAAAGGGTACATTGCTCTATTCATTTGTATGTCAACACGTGCTGTTCATTTAGAACCAGTTAGTGATATGACAACTAAGGGATTTTTGGCCGCCTTCAGGAGATTTGTTGCTAGACGTGGTCGTTGTGCTCAACTTTATAGCGACAATGGAACTAATTTTATAGGAGCGGCACGCGAGCTCGCTGAGTTGTTTGACGAACAGAAATCGACATTTGTGCCTGAACTAGCTGAGTATCTAGCAAATAACGGTACTCNGGTTACATTTGGATCCGCTTGCGCGCCATTTTTAGCAGTTCGCGCGTTGCAGCAAGTAACGTACGATGAAGCTCAGGAATCTCCAAGGATAAAGGAAATCATTTTGAATGATTTCTATATGGATGACCTCATGACAGGAACTGAAAATGTAGATGATGGTTATTCAATTTACAGCGAAATAAAAGCTACATTAGCGAAGGGTGGCTTTCAGTTACAAAAATGGATAAGTAATAGTATGGAATTACTACATAAAATAAAGGAAGATGTGAGAGATAAAGATGAAGGTATCAAGATAGAAATGGATGCAAATATAACAAAAATCTTGGGACTTACCTGGGATCCACGTACTGATTCCTTTCAGTACTCGGTTGATCTTGCTGCTCTAATAGAACCTGTAACAAAAAGAAGAGTTTTGTCTGATATAAGTAGACTATTTGATCCGCTAGGCTGGCTGGCTCCAAGCATCATTATAGCAAAAACAATGATTCAACAACTATGGTTGGCTGGTATCGACTGGGATGAAGAGCTGCCTAGCGAATTACTGAGCAAATGGTGTACTTACCGTGATAGTTTGAGTGCATTGAAGAATATGAGAATCCCGCGCTGGTTACACACAAAAACTTCTGATAAACAAGTCCAATTACATGGTTTTTCGGATGCGTCAAAAACAGCGTATGCAGCTGTAGTTTATATTAGAGTAGAAGATGCCGAAGGTAACATTTACGTACAATTGGTTGCGTCAAAAACTAAAGTGGCACCTATAAAACAGGTTTCTATACCTAGATTGGAACTCTGTGGGGCTACTCTTTTAACCAAATTGATGATAGAGATTGCAAATGTGTTAAATATAGAGAAGAAACATTTGCACGCATGGACTGATTCCGAAGTAGTACTAGCTTGGCTAAACAGTCATCCTAGCCGGTGGAAAACTTTCGTCGCGAACAGAGTTTCTGAAATTCTTACTGCTTTGGATACACATCATTGGTCACATGTACCCTCCAAACAAAATCCTGCTGATTGCGCCTCGCGCGGAGTTAATCCAACAGAACTTGCAAACACGACCATTTGGTTCGAGGGTCCCGAATTCCTCAGAAAGAAAACTATTGAGACTAAGAAACCTAAACACCTACTCACAAATTTGGAAGAAATAAAAACACTTACCTGTGTTGTTGACGATGACTTCATCTGGAAAAAATACTCTTCGCTTCATAAACTGGTCCGAATAATAGCCTATTGTAGAAGATTTTTGAATCTCAGAAGCTCATCTATTAAGAGAAATAACACGATTCATCTCAATGTAGAAGAAATTGATGAGGCTCTGAACATATGTATTAGAAAAACACAAGAAGAACATTTTCCTGAAGAATTGCATGATCTGAAAATGAAAGGCAACTTAGTCACAAAAAGGAAACAATTGAAAAGTCTAAATTTATTTCTGGATTCAAACAACATTATTAGAATTGGAGGTAGGTTAGAAATGTCACAGTTAGATTATGATCAAAAACATCCGATATTACTTGCAAAAAACTCGTTTTTGACCAAACTTTTGATTGTTGATGCTCATATTAAGACAATGCACGGGGGTCCACAGGCTATGGTAACATATCTGAGGACAAAATACTGGATAACTGGTGTAAAGTTAGCAGCCAAAGCTTATTTTCGAACATGTGTTATTTGCACAAGGTACTCAAATAAAACACGAGAGCAACTTATGGGTCAGCTTCCCTCGGCACGCGTTACACCAAGCAAACCATTTCTTTGTAGTGGAGTAGATTACGCAGGTCCAATTAATATGCGTTTGTCGAAGGGTAGGGGCAACAAATCATATAAAGGGTACATTGCTCTATTCATTTGTATGTCAACACGTGCTGTTCATTTAGAACCAGTTAGTGATATGACAACTAAGGGATTTTTGGCCGCCTTCAGGAGATTTGTTGCTAGACGTGGTCGTTGTGCTCAACTTTATAGCGACAATGGAACTAATTTTATAGGAGCGGCACGCGAGCTCGCTGAGTTGTTTGACGAACAGAAATCGACATTTGTGCCTGAACTAGCTGAGTATCTAGCAAATAACGGTACTCAATGGAATTTTATTCCCCCACATGCACCCAATTTTGGAGGACTTTGGGAGGCGGGAATAAAATCCACCAAACACCATCTTCGTCGAGTTATTGGGAACTCAACTCTGACCTTTGAGGAAATGGCAACGGTACTTGCTCAAATTGAGGCTTGCCTTAATTCAAGGCCACTCTCTTATGTTGAAGATCAGGAAGGTTTCGTTGCCCTTTCGCCTGGTCATTTTTTGGTAGGAGAGCCGCTTATACTAATTCCTGAAATCAACTTTGAAAAATCTAATATTAGTTGTCTTAAACGTTGGCAACTGACACAAAGGATGCTACAAGACTTTTGGAAGCATTGGTCTCATGATTATTTGCATCAATTCTTACAAAGACACAAGTGGGTCTACAAAACCCCAGAACCTAAACTGGGTGACGTGGTTTTGATCAAAGAAGATGGCATGCCTCCTGGCAGGTGGTTGTTGGGTAGAGTCGAGCAAAAACATCCTGGCCCTGATCAGATCACCCGAGTGGTTACTGTTCGCACACAAAATTCTTTGATCAAAAGACCTGTGTCCAAAATTTGTGTGCTTCCATTAGCGGAATAATTAATTATTGTAATTTTATGTTGAAATGTAAATATGATGTGCATGTTAAAGTTACTTTAATTCTTATGATTGATATTTTGTTGTAGCAATCCTCACAAAACTTTGTATAGTTGAAGTTAAATTTTTATTATTAATTGTTTTAATCACAATGAGAATGTTTTAGTTATGAGTATGTGCTAAGCAAACTATTTAGTAGTATTTGTTACTATTATGCCCACTGTAGGCAAGGAAGTTTACTTTTTGTTCAGTTTGTGTATATAATTTAACTTTAAATTGTACTGCAAAGATTAGATTTGGTTTGTTTCTTGTTTTGTTTAATTAAGTAAAGGACATTCTGGAATTATGTCCTTTAGCGGGCGGAAATGTACAGGTCCGTNATTGTAAGGTTGCATACCAAACTCATTGGTCGCGCGCCTGGCCGGTTAGAAAACTATTTTTACTTTTTTGCGTTTTTTCATCGATTGTCACTTTTCTCTTTTGTCTTGAATTTTCTACCAAAACGAAATGTAATTTATTTTATTTTGAAGCAATATAATTTTACATTTTACATTTAACAAAGCCTTTCAATTAATAAATATCCCTCGTAGAGTGAAAGACGTAAATTTTCGTTCAATAAGATCAATCTATTGATTAACTTTCTAATTAGGTGATATTTTTGCCAAAATAACGGGTCAAACGACTATTTAAACTACTTTGGTCTCTTTGACTCTAAAATATTTGAAAAATATTGAAGTATTTCTTTTGGTTTATAATAAGAGTTCATGAAATAATTTCTCACTTTTTTTAAATTATTTAGTAAGAAATATAGTTGATGTTTAATATTATAAATTGTTTTACTTGTATTAAATAAGATTAGCAAAAATAAACCCATATCATAATGGGGGACATATGTCACCCGCGCGAGCACTCTAGGAGTATTTAGGGGCGCGAGCACTCTAGTGTTAAGAAGCACATATTATGATTCGGTAGATTTTNCGTTCAAACTAGATAAATGGAACTATGTAAGGGCGTTTTTATTGTTATGCGGATTTGCTCACGCACGCAGGATTACCCCGTAGATATCATCATCATTTCAGCCAAACGTCGTCCACTGCTGGACAAGGGCCTTCCCCAATGATTTCCATAGCTGCTGTAACGTAATGTTCAAATTACCTGAGCGACAAGGTTGGACACGTCGCCCGCATTGGCGGGTAGTATGAGCGTGTTGTTGGTTCTGGCGAGCTTGTTGAACGCCGCCACGTACTGTTCAGCCAGTGTCAGCGACGCTGCATGCTTGCTGTCCTGTGAACGTAGGAAAAAATATTTTTTTATTTTATTTTATTCAGAAAACAAACAGCTTACAAATACAACAAGTAGTTGGTCCAAGTCTATAGTTTTCACCATCTGTTTCATATTATATTATTCACTGGTAATTTTGTATATTTGATGACGTAAAGCTAGCTTAATGAGGACTAAACACTAATCTCAAAAATACAAATATGCACTTAAAAATAGAAATTTTTCGTTTTCCAGATGCCAGTTCTACCAATAGTATGGAATCGACTAAATATTTGAAGTGTAAAAAAAAAGTATAAACGTAAAATTAACGTTAGGCGTTCCTCATACTCAAATTTAAAATCGGCACTCCAATGAAGCCACATTTGCTTGCACATTGGCGCTTTTATACATTTACCGTTCTCGAAAGTTAACACAGTCAGTGAAACATTTGTTTAAGAGAGTAATGCCCGTTTTCACCATCAATACCAAATATTTAAGTGATGGTAACACATAACAGGAATTTTGTTTCCATAGGGGTCACTTAAAAATTAAGTATTGATGGTGAAAACGGGCATTAAGCTCACCTTCTGCGCAAGCGCACCGCCGACGAGCCTCAAGCCGCGCGCGCGCGCCTCCGCTACGGCGAGCATGGCCTGCGCCTCTCCCGACGCCTTGTTGATCTGCTCCTGCTTTTCAGCCTCTGAAATCAGATGGTTAAGGTTCACAATCGAATATCAATCATGGGCATGTAATGTAACTCTGTGGCGTCTATCACTATCACAAGTGAGAAATGTATGTTAAGTTTGAATATAGTTGTGCCTTGTTTGTAAATATCAATATTTTGGCGCTAAAAGCCGTTTTAATTTTTCATTCACCCCCCTTTAAGTCTTTGGCACCATAACTCTCAAACAAGTAAGCGATTTAGATGCGATTTTTCTTTAATTTTAAGCGATTCTCAGGCATGTTCAGCCTCAGGGATACGATACCCATACCATCGAAAAAAGTTTACATTCGTAAAATAATTCAAAGTTCGATTTTTCTTTCGAATATTACACCGTTTCTCTCAAATAGGTGAATAGTTCTTTTTCAGTTTAGTTTATGTAGATTTTTTCGCTAGTCTTATACCTGACGCCAATATGCGGGCCTGGCGCTTGCCCTCAGCGACGTTGATGTCAGCCGCGCGCACGCCCTCGGATTCCAAGATGGCGGCGCGCTTCCGCCGCTCCGCCTCCACCTGCATCTGCATGGCCTCGTGAACGCGCGACGGCAGCTTGATGTCACCTGTACAATAAAGAACGTGGTTCATTGGCATATTTACTTTTCAGAATCCATCCAAACCATCTGTCACAGAACTGGAGGTTTTGGGGGTTTTTTGAACGGGGTTTGATTCCCAGTTTCCCAGTCCCAGGAGCAATATTTTAAAAACTGGTTTCTTAAAAACAAGACGAGTGACGTACCCTTGGTGACGTATCTAGGAAACCTCTTTTTTTTGTTACTGTTTTTCTTATTGCTTTTTTTGCTGTCTTTGGTTTAAAATCAAAATTGAAATTATTTTATTGTACTGTGTAAAATTCATGAGTTGCTTACATTATAATAATATGCATGCTGTGGTTATTGTTTGTGTGGGAGCAATTGGCTAGAGACCTTTGGCTTTTTTTTGTGCTTAATACTGTATGTTATGTTGATAGCCCAATAAAAAAAAATCAGCTCAGTTGATTTGGTAGTTGGCTAGAAGGTTTATTGAGAGTAGAATAGTCTTTTTTTCTACATATATTTTTTGCAGTTGAGTGTACATAAAAAACATAAATTATAACTAGATAGAAATTCTTTTCAAGTTTTAAATTTAGTTTGTGATATCATATTAACACAAAATTTCTAATAACTTAATTGGTAGCAGTTTTAGAAATATAATACAGTAACTAATGGATTAATATTTTAACACTTACGAATTTCATATCGGAGACAAGTTATGCCCCAAGCTTCACTGGCTTTATTGATGGCATGCACAATGGACACGTTCAAGGATTCTCTCTCCCTGAACACTTTGTCCAGTGATATCTGACCTAGTTCTGATCTCATAGTTGTTTGAGCCAGCTGTGTAATAGCAAATTCAGGATCTTCCACCCCATATGATGCTAAAAAAGGAAATTTGGATTATAATAAAAAATATTTTCTTATACTATTAGGGAAATTATAAAATTTAAGATAATCATTTACCTAAATATGGATCTATGATGCGAAGGTATAATACTCCATCGATACTCAACGTCACATTGTCCGATGTAATTGCACTCTGCTTAGGAACATCTATCGCTATTTCTTTAAGACTTTGCACATATTTTATCTTGTCTACTATTGGCCACAGTAGATTCAACCCTGGTTCCAATATTCTGTGAAATTTACCCATACGTTCTACAATCCATGCCTGGAATTTATTAAAATAGTCTATTTAAGTAATTTTCAAGAACAAAAATGTATTCTTTTTAATAATATATGGGTGTATTACTATAAGTAATTGAATTTTAAAAATATGTATGAAGTTTTTGCAGTTGCCAGGTTTAGTTAAAAAGAATAGTACCAAGATTAATATGCTAAAATTATCGAGATAATTTAGTAATTCTAATTAGATTCTTATTTTGATTACAACATATTTTTTTAATGTATCATCATTTCATAATCACTTCACTTTTATGTTACGAGCGCAGTTTTTGACTTACCTCTTGCTGTGGGACAAACATAACGATAGTATTTAGTGGAGTAGTAGATCGGCCTCTGGTTGCAGTAACGTTGTACAGAATACGAGCTTCATTTTGGAATTCCGGCTTGGAAATATTCTGAAAACAAGACCAGTGAGTGAGGTTAGAACTCAATGTTATTGATCTTACCATAATGCTTCAGATTTATACTAACTCGTAATGAAAGCGCCCTAGTAAACAGAAGTCTGGATCGAGAAAACATGATGTTTACACACAATACAATTATATTAATTTCCAAATAATTTACAATACATTCTACATTCTGCGGTACACCTTTACTAGTGTTGTCATTACTGTGCAAAACTGCTAAGTATCGATTTAAAACGTCAAAAAATATTTTTTATCATTATAGTTAATCGACTAAATCAAAACCAATTGAACACGACGTTAACGACTACGACATCACTCAATCAGACTAGTGTTGTTGAATGGCGACTAATCGTAGGACTAGTGATCAAATCAAAAGTTTGATCAATATTACTTGGACACGTAAAATAAAATGAGCGACGTTGATATTTCTAACGAAAGTAGTAAAAATTTATTGCAAAATTCATCATGTCATGATGATGGTATATTAGCGAGAATACGAAGATTAAAGATACAAGAAGATTTGATGATTCAAAGTATAAAAAAGAATTTTGGTGATGATGATAACGATTTTATAAAATGTGATTTTGATTGTAAAAGGTATATAAATAAGTTAAAGTCATCTTTTGTGGATATAAAACAATTGTATGATGATCTAAAGTGCATAACAAAATCACAAGATACCATAAGGAATTCAGGTTAGTTACCTATTTATTTAACATAAATATAATTTTCATTACTATTCCATAAAGGCAAATTTATATACCTTAATATAGAAATTGTATTTGTAGTCTGTACCATAAAAAAATTTTTTGTTTTTTTCGGAATTTCAGATATCGATGACGTCAAAAAACATGTTTTAGAACTTGATGAACATATCAAAACTTTCAAAAAATTTCTGCATAGAGAATTGGCTACTTTGAAAACAAATGAAGAATATTTACTGAAGCAAGTGTGTGGCTGATGATTTTATTCATAAAAAAGAACAAAAAACAATTTAAATTAGGTACTTAAAAAAATAATAAAGTTTTACTTTTTCAGATAAATGCTGTTGAAAATCAGACTAATAAAGTAATAAAGCATACAAAAGTAATTAGCAAGACATATAGTGATATTATACCGAGCCCCGTAAGAAATATAATTAATTCTCCATTTAAATATCCAGTAAGTTTTTGAATGTGTGATAATATTATGTCACATTATAATTTCGAAGCCTTTTAATTTGTAAAAGTGTCAAATTACAGGAAGTTCAACAGTTCCAAGATTTTTTAAGTCACACAAATAAGTACGGAGGATGGAACGAATACAATCATAACATTTTCATCAAAATATGGCAAAAACATTTTCCAAGCAATGACGATGCTGAAAACTTATGCCAAACTGATACAGACTTATTCATACAAGATGTCTCGAATAATATATCTGGTGATTTGTTAATTTTAATCAGATTTTAATAATTTATTGAATTAAAAACTTGTTCCTGTTCAATAATCGTTTAAAATTAATGTTATATTCCAGGACTTACTCAACAAGAAATAACAGCACATTTACATTGGTATATCAAATATTTATCTCATAAGAAACGACAACAACTGGCTATAGAAGAATGGAGAGCCAAAACAAGACCAAAAAAAGATTATAATTGCAATAAAAAGTCATCAAGTTCACAAAGTGAAATAGAAAATGTGTCTAATAGAACACGTCGTTGGCAAAGCTCAGGCACAAGAACACATAAAAAAGCCGGTAGGGAATGATAATAATAAAAATATGTATACAATTTTTTCACTTTTTTCATACTTGTTATTGATTTTTAGGTGAATTGCATAAACAAGATCACGATAGTAATACAAGGTAAGAATGATGGATTTTTTTTTCTTTAAAATGAAATTACTATAATATTATAGTTTAATAATGTAGAAGTGCAAGATGTTATTTTAAATTTTGTTTTAGCTTAACGACTGAAGGAAGACCCAATAATATGTCTTTAGTAGATACGAATGCGTTTTTGAAGGAAATGGAGAGATCTCATAATTTATTGGATGATAAAGTAGTTGAATTTAGCTATGCTAAATCGACAGAGCAATGGAGCAATAGATGTCAAAGCTCAGCAGACCCAAAACCGCGTTTAGTCGATTTAGACAATATTTCTAAACGGTGAGTTATTAGATTTAATTTAGTCTGATAAAGTAAGTCATTTAGTACCTACTATTGCCTACTATATTATATTAATTTTCAGCGGTACACCGAACTGGCGTTTAAAATTACTGTGAATCATAATCGTTTCACTCTTCGTGCTTTTAGCATTTAGGGAATTTTGTGTTATGGAAATAAGTAGATTTAAGTGAGAATAAAACATTTAACAATAATTTGTGTTTGTTTGAAACTCCTTAATGTTAATGTGCTACAAAATACATATAATTATTATGTCGATACGATTACATACGATTTGAACAAAACATTCAATTGAAACATAAGACGATATTTTACTACACCACTACTTGATGACACTGATGATTGGACGCATCAAATATTGGTGCTTGTGGTGATTGACGTGGATTTTTACGGCAGATTCAGAAGTGGACACACGTGAATTTATTTGCTGAATAACTTAGGTTTAAAAATTGTGCCAAATAGCCTTATTATTTTTAAAAAATAGCTAAAACAAGAGTCAAACTAATACTCGTCATGGGAACCCTAGCCGCAGCTCTTGGCTTACTGTTGATTATCGCCAGTGCGCGATCTGATGATTCTCCCAAAGGCCCTAAGGTCACCCACAAGGTAACTTCTAGTTTTTTTCAGTTTCCTGTAAAATATTCACATAATGAATTTCCATCATTATTGACCCTCACATAAAGTTCATGAACTTTTTGTGCCATCATCCGGTCGCTGACCTTTCGAAATGACGCTACAAGTTTTTTTCTCTCGCATGTCGTGATCCTTTGTGTGAGCTTTTTTATTTTTGTCCTGTTACATAGTATCATTCATACTGACTACTGACCCTAAATTATTTTCTGTAGGTATGTAGGTTACTACTTTTTAGGCCATTGTAATTTGCCTTTTGTGATTCAATCTGCATTCATTTAATAATAGCAGTAGTAGGCACACAATCATTTTAGATTGGTCAGAAGTCGACCGTCAATAAATAAAATGACTATAATCAAGTAACAATGGACTACAATAACATACCTAGGTCTTAACCCTTTTAATTCATGCCTTTTAAAAATTCACACTGCACTAGGTATAATATTTGTTTACTGATGTTTATTATCTTTTTCTATTAGGTTTATTTTGATATTACCATTGGAGGAGAGAGTGCAGGCACAGTAGTCATTGGTTTGTTTGGAAAAACAGTTCCAAAAACTACTGAGAACTTTTATGCCTTGGCTCAAAAGCCTGAAGGAGAAGGCTACAAGGGCAGCAAATTCCACAGAGTGATTGAAAACTTCATGATCCAAGGTGGTGATTTCACCAAGGGTGACGGCACTGGAGGTAAAATATTAAAGATTTATTGAAAACTAACAATATTATTATGTTAGGACTTCCTTTGAATTATCATATTTTATTATTGTATTTGTATAGTAAGTTAACAAGATAATATCTTATATTATACTTCAAATATTACTACAAACCTACCTACATCAGCTAAGATATACGAGAAAGCTATGTGCAATAGACTGTACTCCTTCTGCGAAAAATATAATATATTTGACAGTAGTCAAAATGGATTTAGGCGTAATCGATCTACGACACTTGCAGTTTATAATTATGTACAGGAAGTGTTAAGTATTTTGGAAAACAAACAATACGCAGTAGGAATATTACTAGATATGAGTAAAGCATACGATAAGGTCCAATTCGGGATCCTATTAAACAAACTTTATGATATCGGGATCAGGGGAGTGGTTCACGATTGGTTCAAATCATATCTGTCAAATCGTAAACAGGTCGTAGACATACAATTTTCAAATTATAAAACGGGAATGATCGAGTCGGTAAGATCGGACGAGATCACCACAACCAGCTCAATACCTCAAGGCAGCGTCCTAGGATGTGTCCTATTTTTGTTATATATTAATGACCTTCCTAAATACGTTAACATCCCCTGTGTTATGTTCGCGGATGACGTATCGGTGGTGACCTCATGCCGATCCAATATTGATCTTAACCAAAAATTGACGGAAAACCTTAATAACATACAAGCATGGATGGACGACCACAACTTGGAAATAAATTACTCAAAAACGAAATTAATACAATTTAGGCCCTATCAAAAAACTCCATTAAACATTAACTACTCATTCAATGGTAAAAGTATTGAATGCGTAAATTTTGCTACATTGCTCGGACTTGACTTAGATTGTAATTTAAATTGGAAACAGCATATTATTAAAATTAAACAGAAAATATCTAAATTTACTTACGCCCTAAGGCAACTAAAAAGAAACTCCGACCTAAAAACTACACTCGCTGCTTATTATGCCTACAGCTACGCTTGGATCTCTTACGGGATCATACTATGGGGCAACAGCACGGACTCAGATGATATATTTATTCTCCAAAAAAAGTGTATACGTATCCTGGCACAAATAAAAAATATTGAAAGCTGTAAGCCATACTTTATGAAATATAAAATACTACCACTAAAATGTATTTATATCTTGGAATTATGTAAGTTTGTGCGCAAATATCCAAATCTATACACAAAAAAGGGAAATGTAAATGCAAGATCTCGATACCCTAATGATTTAATATTACCTCTATTCAAACTAGGCATGGCTGCTACAGGACCATACGCAATGACGATAAAAGTCTATAATAAACTACCTACATACATAAAATCTGAACCAAATACAAATAAATTTATTAATTTGCTAAAAAAGTTTCTACTAAGTAAGTGTTACTATGATTTAAATGAATATTTTAATGATAAGCCCACATATACAGTACTATGCAATACATACATTTAACTATTATCTACATATTGTATCACCCATTATATGACATTCAGTTATTCAGTTACCTACTATACTCATTATAATAATTATTAGAATTATTTTTTCCTATTCCCTGGAGAGACTTTATAAAAAAAGTGTCGGCCCAGTATGCGTAATTTTTCAAATATATTTTTTATACAATAATAGACATTATATTCCAAATTGCTTTATGTACTTCCTATCAAAGACATCTATAATTTATTTGATTGCTATTGTAAATACCAGTAAAATTGCAATGCCCTTGCAGGGCCCATATGTTTACCTTACATATTTTATAAGACCTTACTGTACATACATACATATGTGATGCAATAAATAAATGAATATGAATATGAATATTTATGAGCTTAATTTTATTGTGAGCTGTCAAACTTATCTTAACTCTTGAATTCAGTTGAAGTGGTCTTTGTACATAAGACTTACAATTTGATAACCCACAAAGACTACCTTAAAAGTAGGCATCTTATATTCAGATAATGGATTTGTATCTTAATATCTTTATTTTTGTTATAAAATATCTTTTTCACAGCTGTTACAACATCATTATTTTGTGTTATCCAAAATATAGCGATATGAATGATTGATGAGACGTTGCTTATTTGCCATTAAACTATAAAATTATTTATTTTTTTACAGGACGCAGTATTTACGGTGATCGTTTCGAAGATGAGAACTTCAAGCTACGTCACTATGGTGCTGGTTGGCTGTCCATGGCTAATGCTGGAAAAGACACAAATGGATCCCAGTTCTTCATCACTACCACCAAGACCCCTTGGTTAGACGGCAGACACGTTGTCTTTGGGAAAGTTTTGGAAGGAATGGTAAGATCTCAGAAATTGTGAAAATTAAAAATAAATAAAAGAAATTAACGATGATCTCAATCTTCAGAAAAAGTAGCTGTTTATCTAATAAGTGGCAGCATTATGAACTCAGCTGTCAAAACTCAAAACCCTGACTATAAAAGGAGATTTTTTTAAAAACTGTACGCTGTTTTCAAAACTTGTGCTGATAAAAATGATTGTTTTCTTATTTGCAGGATGTTGTGCGTAAGATTGAAAAGTCGCCGACTGGCGCAAACGACCGTCCAGTAAAGGATGTTGTCATCGCGAACTCCCGTGCCGAACTTGTCGCAGAGCCATTCAGCGTCACAAAGGAGAGTGCTCAATAACACAATGTTTATTTTAAGTTAAGCCATAATACACATTAATTTTAAAATGACAGTGCTCAAGTCTCTAACCGAAATACGTTGTAAATATTCAATCGTGATTGAAGAACGCAATACTGTTTTAGTTGCAGTGCATTTACATAAAAATCAAAATGATATTATTTTCTCATATGTTTTGTTAAACAACATAATTTTACAGGGTGAAATTTGAGATTGAAAATACAAATCTTTAATTTTAAAATATATTGTTCTTAATATTCCTTTTAAAAATAAAGTTATAAGATTAACTATGGTTTTTTAGTTCTTGTAAACATGATTCAGCTTCTTGTTTGATATCATTATTTTTGGACACAACCCCCAATTTCCATCCATAACCACAACTTTTTCTGGCCTCAGCTATTAAGTTTTTCTTCAAATATGCTCTTCCTAAATTAACATACATGGCTCCCATGTCATCCATATTTAAATCTTTTCCTAATTCAATAGCTTCTTTAAAGTAGTTTATGCTTTCATCGGCCTTGCCTAGAAGGTCACAGACTGTTCCAATATCGTTGAGTTGAATAACAATGTGTTCTTTATCTACATCTGAAACTTCCCTCATCCATTTTAATGAACTTATCAGCAGTGGCAGACTCTGTTCAATTTGTTGACAATCAAGAAACAGTCTGCCATACCAGTCCTCTGTCATTGCTAAAAGTTTTTTGGTCGCATCGTCTGCACCATATTGCATAGCAGTTCTCAGTTTTTCTAAACAGTAATCGTATCCAAGTTGGGCTGTGGAATATTCTTTTTTTAGATGACTGATTCTAGCTAGCTTAGAGCTTATGTGAACCATACGGGGATCATCTTCTGTAGCTCCATCTTGCATTATTCTTTGTGCGACAGAAACAAACAATTGTTTTGCTTTGTCCAACTGAGCTCTTTCAAGAGCCAGATTAGCCATTACATCATAGATATATGTAATGCCCTGTTCATGTTGTATCTGCTGTGCTTGTCTAAGGGAAATATGAAGCAACTGCTCAGCTTTTTCGTATTCACCTCGTTGGTTAAATAATATACAATGCTTAATTGTATGTATCAACTCGTCTTCTGCTGAAAGTTTTGGTTGAAAACCGAGCCAAGTAAACAAAGAAAATCCAATAGTTACAGGGACGACTGAAATCTTTGGTTGTACAGAGACATCGCGTAAAAATGTTACTGGTATTCGTTTAAAGTTATTTCTAATGGTATATAATTTCCTAAAAAGGAAACGAAGTCTGCTAGACATGATGTTTAGATAAAATATAAAATGTTATATAACCTCTACAGTCCCTTATTTATCATATTTCTGCAGACAGAACTGAAGCCGGAACTGAACACTTAACATATTTTTATTTTCACAATTTATTGTAATTGATCAGTAAAACAATTTTTATAAATGTTAAATGTCATAGTCAGCTGCTCCGGTATCCATTTTCTATTACAGAGCATAATTTTTTATTAGTCACAGACAAACAAACTTTGTAGTTATGTGATATTGACAGAATTAATTGAATGTTTCCGAGATCTTTTAGTCGATCATAGAGAAAAGTAATACGTAGTCGATTATTAAAGTCGTCCTACACTAGTAGCGTTGTCTATGGTTGGTCAGCAAAATAATTTGACGTTTATAGGCCATAGAGTAAAAGTACGTACAAAAATATAATGTCATGTCGTCTTTCTGCTGCATCTCAATAAAATTGAATTAAATTCAGTGTCGACATTACTAATTTAATTATCTTTCATACAATATTATTAACAAGACAGGTCATCTGGTGTCCATTTTATTATGGTAGAATTAAGGTGACGGACATTCCTGCTATCATCATTGAGACAAGCAAGTAATGCTTCGTTACCACCACAGAGCTCGAAGGCTTTAGCTTTCGTAACACAGAAAAACGATTGACCAAGAAAAATGTTTAGCATGAACGGATCAGATTTCCCCCCTGTGAAAGAGGACACATTTTGTAAATATGTTTTATACTACGAGATAAATAATTCAAGGTAACAGTTTGCCTTTTTGGTTTTCATGTTATTTTTGTTGTTGTTCTGTTTTATGTGACGAAAGCTTCTCTTTTCAGGGTTCGGATTTGGGATTTGATAATATTGATACCGAATGCGTTGTTTGTGCTTTTCTTAGTGGTAAGATTTAATAAGGCTCAGTTGAAACTGCGTGCTACAAGTAGTCCTATATTTCTGACATTCTACACTTTGGTGTGGGGAAATGTGATCATAAGCCTGGTGCGATGTGCTGTGTCCATGACGGTGAACGCGGCGATGCCGCTGGGAGGCCTGGTGGACAAGATCCTGTGGGTGACCGTGAGATTCTTTCTGTTGGCCACAGAAATGAGTGTCGTCATATTTGGGTTGGCTTTTGGTACGTTTGGTATCTTCATCACATCATTTTTGCTATCAATTTGTTGTAAGATTATGTGTCTTATGTTTAGTCTCTCAAAATTAATGGAATTGATGTGTTAAACCTAGCTTCAAAAGTTAAGTGCATTTGTAGTAGGTATGTGATTACTGAAAAATATACTATTAAATAGTAAAATTAATTATTGATGAGCCAAACCAAACAATTGTCCCACCATGAAGTTCTGAAACAGCTATAATCTGTGTCAATTTACAATTTGTTATGCATTCAATTTACAACCATTTAATACAGTGTATCATTTATTAATATACTCCATTTTCTTTATCAGGACACTTGGACAGCCGAAGCAGCATCAGATACGTTCTCCTGGCAACGTCGCTCATATCCCTTGCCTTCACCATCACTCAAGGCACATTAGAGATTGTCATGCCGGATGACATGTTCCACATTGATAACAGGGACTACAACCTGTTTGGACACGGTGGAATGTTATTCTGGTTCACATCGTCTCTAGTCTTCGCTCTCATTTACTTCCTCATATTGTTGCTACCATGGATACCACTCCGGGACTATTTGGCTTTACCGAGTAAGTTTTAATCATTACTATATCTTACTATTAATTAAATATTGGCTTAATTAAACACTTAATATTAGTATTGGTGATAACAAAAGTTACTTAACAGCATTATCTGTTTGCTAATAAATAAAATGCTAATTTTATAGCAAGTATTTTCATGGTACATAAATAAGACGATGCTAATTGTTCATTATAATAACATTAGGTGTTTCACAACACAAGAGTAATGTGATATCTTATTATTATGGACTGTAATAAGAGTTGTTTATGTATCTGAAACAGTTAATTAAAATGTAATAATATTTGTACGCACTGTATTGCTTTGCATTGCTGTGTTATGTGCAATGTATAAACAAAATGTGATTAAGTAACTAAGGCTGTCACTTCCTTTTGAATTGTTATTGATCAGATACAATAAATTATGCAATTTATTGTCTTGGTTAATGTTTTCAATGTTATCGTTGGGTTTTTGACCTTTTGTGATAAGTATTGTTATCCCATTATTACCAGGAATTGCAAGGTGTAAATCAAGTAAGTTTATGAGCAGAAATCCTTTTGTAGGGCATTGTGACTTAGTTCAGACATAACTTAGTCTTATCTTGAAGTTGGACGTTATATCCGTAACTTGTGACCTTGTAGAATACATGCTTCCTACTTTGTTATTTGTGATTAATTGTAATCAACTTCATACTAAATGGACTGTAATCTTTTTAGTGAAGATAATTGGCATAAATTGTTTGAATGAAAGTTCAAAGAACTGGAATGCTCATTGGTATAATAAACTGATATGACATCGCATCGTCGCATACACGACCGCAAAATTAGTGGCATGGCACTTATTTCCTCATGTCATTGGGTAAAAATGTACCGCAATACCACCGAAATCGTACGACACGATTGGCAACGGCAGGTTGGGTGTCCCATAGCCATGGAAGCTACTGTTGGGTTTTAGTAGGTAGGTCCCGACCTACTGGCGGGGAGTCCCTCATAACCCATAAACCATTGGCCGTCCTCAGCGGCATTACTCGACGGAAAAAAGGGTATCGCATAGTGCGAATATGACATTAACTCCATAATAAACGATGAGACTTTAATTTTGTACTGTGGGGGAATCGAACCCGCGAACTCTTAGTATGTTAGTTCGTTACGAACCACTTCACCAAACGGCCGACAATAATGGCTGAAGATTTGATTTGTGTAATAGTATAGAAAAGTGTTGCGAAGTGTCAAACCCGACAGACGTCCGCGTAATACCGAAATCGTGAGCTACAACAAGGCATATCCACAAAAACGGGCAGTACGACTGGTAACGTGCAGTGTTTATTCCAGCCAAACTATCGTTCTACCTGTACGTGTTGCTACTGGCGCTTCTGGACACGACCCAGGCGGTTGGCGCAGGCCTACTGGCCTGGGGCTCCATGCAGTCTGGCCTCTGCATCGTGGACGTGACTACATGGCTCTACTTCTCGTTGTACACGCCACTTGTGTACCACACTTTTCTCAGCGAGTTTTTCAGGTACGTGACCGCTAGTGAAAGTCGGGCAAAGGAAATAAAAAGACTCGCTTTCGTTTGATCAAGTTGACAATGGCACAATGAATTAAAGCAGGAAAGCTCTTTCCTAGTTTAAATGTATTTTAGTTTTGTTAGCTTCAATTTTTATGCAATGAGAACTTTTTGTAGGTAGTCAAATAATATTGTCAGTAGGGTCTTGTCGAATGTCTCAGTTAACAGAATGCATATTTTATTACTTGTCCCAGTCAAGAGTTAAGTTTCTATTGTCATGTTTTTTGTTGATAGCATTATAATGCGACATTGAAACTATTCAGAACTTGGATTAAGATTTGAAACGACCTTGGCATGAATTACCTTTCTCAACTCAACACAGTCACATAATGCGGGATGCAATTGGTCAATTTTGTTTTATGTTCCTGGGATTTTCGTTACGACAATAGTTTCGTAAGAACGTTATGTAATGAGCTAAATATCTTGACAGTTTTAGCGTTTTATCTAAAAAGTTAAGATGAACTTGTGTAGGCACTTTACCTACTTTTAATGTTATTACGATTGATAGACAGGTACTTGACTTCAAAGATATTGAATACATCTATAGATGACTTTACAGTTTCAAGCCTCAAGTGATCTCTTAAAAACATGCTCCACTTATCACGCATTCATGACTTTTATGATAAACTAGCTGACCCGGCGAACTTTGTTCCGCCTTAATGGCAATAAATAAGCAGACTTTTTTTTTGTTTCGAACGGGATTAAAAGTATCCTATGTCCTTCTCCTGGCTCTAAACTACCTCCCTGACAATTTTCAGCTAAATCAGTTCAGCCGTTCTTGAGTTATAAGCGAAGTAACTAACACGACTTTCTTTTATATATGTCGGAGCGTCGGGCTCTCGGACGGCACCAGAAGGGTCTCTCATTGAATTCATACTATCTACCTATGTGGGCGTATAGGGAACACGTGCGAGTGGATACTAACACTAATTGTAATCACTGATTATAAACGACTAACTTTACTATAGACTAGAATGTAAAGACTGGTTCGTAATTTAATCAATATTGGCCGCAGGTAAATTTAACAGAAAGATCAAAGTTATTGAATTAGTTTAACAAAGCTAGAGACGCCTAGACTTAATAAATTGGGAGCGATTGACGAATTTGTGAACCACGCCCAGTAACCACCACGTCCAAAACCCGAATGTGCAATGACTCTAACACTGAGTCCCAAAATCTCTACGTTCCAGGGCTCTGTACCTGAAGTTTTTGTAAAGCTATTAATCCATCAATACTGCACTTGAACGGGTCCACAACTACGTCAGGCAACATGGAGATTTATGTCACCTTCGTTCCCAGGCGCGCACTTAACTCTGGCATAAGAGCTTTGGCGCTGCTTAAAATTCCATAGCAATAAACTAGCTAACACATTGAAAGTGTTGTGAGAACTATAACATTAAGTTATTTAATTTATTGCGCCCCGCGCGCCGACACGGCGATCCTGACTCTCACACGTCCTCGTGTGGATCAGCATTTAAGTCGTCATGTAATATGACAACCTCACTCATGTAACTTAAAGTACCGTTCGGCTATCCTACAATACCACTATGAGTAGGAAGGTACATGTCAGTAAAATGTCAGGTCTCCACAGATTCAAATCAAAACTACAAAGTTTTCAACTCAGTCAAGAACAAATCTAGTTTCAACTAGAATCTTAAAGTTATTTCAACCAAAACTAAGGCCAAGGTTAACGTAACTAATACCCGCGACACACTGTCACGCACTATCGGAACGCATCCGACCATCGGAATCACCATCCGATACCACCAGCACTCACGGCCAGTCACAATGGCACTCACGGCCAATCACCATCGGTACTCACGACCGAACACAAAGGCACTCTCATGGCCTCACCATCGGTATAGATGACCGATCACAACGGCACTCTCATGGCCGATCACAAAGGCACTCTCATGGCCTCACCATCGGTATAGATGACCGATCACAACGGCACTCTCATGGCCGATCACAAAGGCACTCTCATGGCCTCACCATCGGTATAGATGACCGATCACAACGGCACTCTCATGGCCGATCACAAAGGCACTCTCATGGCCTCACCATCGGTATAGATGACCGATCACAACGGCACTCTCATGGCCGATCACAAAGGCACTCTCATGGCCTCACCATCGGTATAGATGACCGATCACAACGGCACTCTCATGGCCGATCACAAAGGCACTCTCATGGCCTCACCATCGGTATAGATGACCGATCACAACGGCACTCTCATGGCCGATCACAAAGGCACTCTCATGGCCTCACCATCGGTATAGATGACCGATCACAACGGCACTCTCATGGCCGATCACAAAGGCACTCTCATGGCCTCACCATCGGTATAGATGACCGATCACAACGGCACTCTCATGGCCGATCACAAAGGCACTCTCATGGCCTCACCATCGGTATAGATGACCGATCACAACGGCACTCTCATGGCCGATCACAAAGGCACTCTCATGGCCTCACCATCGGTATAGATGACCGATCACAACGGCACTCTCATGGCCGATCACAAAGGCACTCTCATGGCCTCACCATCGGTATAGATGACCGAACACAACGGCACTCTCATGGCCGATCACAAAGGCACTCTCATGGCCCCACCATCGGTACTCACGACCGATCAGCAGCTATCGAAACAAATTCAATCAACTGCCCAACCCATGACCTCATTACTCATCATCGCCGCGCAGTCTCCGACCAGCTAAACTGGGTTAGGAATATGACCTACGATCGACAACAAGACAAGGCCCTGAGTACTCTTAGTCATGTTAACCAGCCATAATTTTCGTCATAACTAACATTAAAATGTCAAAAGATACTACAACAATATCATCATTATTGATATTCTTTCTTATAATAACTCTTTCAATCTCATTAGCGCCGACAACGGCTAAACCTGACTATTTCTCGCTCTGTGGGGACGTAACATTTCAGCATCACTCGATAGCAATCGTTAGCATATTTATAAATTCTATAAACAACTGACTAATGATTTTAAAATCACATCGGTCATTATCTCAAATAAAAAAAAATTAAATAATTTTATTGCATAATGTAAGTACTCGTACATAAAGATCACACACTACTTACATAGGTTGTATAAGGCGTCACTAACCGTGTTATCATTAAAAATAATTCATACACGACCAGTCCTAGACTAAAATCAAAATAAAACATACTCTAATAAAAAAAAATCATCATCAAAATTCAAATTCAAAATTTAGATAAAATCAAAATTTAATCAAAATCAAAATCTGATCAAGATCATAATTTAATCAAAGTCAAAATGTAATTAAAATCAAAATTTAAAATTTAATCAAAATTTAATTAAAATTTAATCTGAACCAAAATTTAATTAAAATCAAATCAAAATTAAAAACAGAAAGGAATCAGAAAGTTTAGTACTTGCACCCAAACTTTAGATAGGTACTGCTCATAAAAACCTATCAGTTTTTTGAGAGCGACAACTGATAAAAATGTAATTGAATCAAGAAATTGTTGAACTACACCATACTATTTTGGCATATCTACAACAGAATCAATTTTTTTTTTCATAATTCTAGATTAGAATAAAGAAAAGGAAATGTCAAATCTAATATTAGTAATCCTAGTAGTCCTAAATACAAACTACTAACTTATTTTAAAATACAAACGATGTTAAACTCAATATCAATCATCAAGAATGAACCGAGTGTAATAACAATGTCAACATTTTTGAGAATACTTATGCATTTTCATTTTTACANGGTCATCAAGTAGATAATTGTCGTAACCGTGAGCGAAATAACAAAACTTCCACGAGCAAAGACAACCCCGAACGTAATAATAATAGTTCGCGCAGTAATAATAGTAGTACAATACGGTGTTATGGATGTGGCCAGCAAGGCGTATTTAAATCAAAGTGTGAGACGTGTAGTCCGAAGTTTCAATCGGAATTTCACACTTTAGGGTCCCGTCGTACTTTTTACAATAATTGTAAACCCCCCGTAACATTACTATCATCACGTAACAAGACGAAAGCTCGTCGTAACTCATCACGTAAAA